CTGGGACGCGTACACGCATAGGAGTCCCAGCGCCGCGAGCTTGAGGCCGAAGCTAATGTTGTGGCGCCGGTCCAGTTCGTTCACCTACAGGCAAAATGAATCACTGCTTTCTGTTGGAACGAGTAGCGTCGTACGGCAGCGACAACGCTCTGCGGCGCCATGAGCCCGCGGTTGTCGTCGGCGACGAGGCCGTGTGAGAGGTCGCCGATCGGAAACCAGATGAAGATGCTCGCGAGGTAGACGAGGATGGTGGCGACGCTCCTAGAATCTCGTGAGCCGCTAGGCCAATATTGAGGGCAAAAGAGCACCAGAGGTTGCCAAAGGCTTGGTGGATCGCGATGAGGACCGTCGTGAGCATGGGCGTGCAAAGAAGGATCGCCGCGCCAATGCCGTAGCCGGGCAGGCGCGAGTAGGGCACGAGTGTCTTGGTGAGCTTGGCCCCGCGGATGCAGCCAAAGAGGAGTGACATGCTTTGGGGAACGAGCGTCTGCAGCGACGAGAGTCCTAGTACGCCGAGAGAGTAGACTTGGAGCGCACCATTCGGCGCGTACCGACGACGGTGCCAATGAGCAACTCGACATAGTCGCTGCTCGAGTGGAACCTGCCAAGGGCCGTGATGGCGTCAACGACCGTGTCCGGGAGGCAGAGCTCTATGCACAAGTTGAATATGACGACTGCGATCGTCCAGCAACCTGGCGCTTGGGAGAGAAGCGGCGGCAAGGATGCGTGGAGGCAGTCGCGCATGCAAGACGACGCGAAGCACGAGGCGCACGCGGGGTGCGCTGCCTCCAACGCCGACGGGTTGTACATGTAAGCAAGGCCCATGCTGATGCACGTGGCGTCAAGAAGGCAGGCCGCACAGGTGGGTTCGCTGCATGCCGCCGGCGTCGCCTGGTTGGTGCTCGTGTTGGCGGCGGCGTAGACGTTGAGGCAGACCCGCGTCGTGCTGTTCTTGAGGACGCCCATGGTGTCGAGCGAGCGCAGAAGCTGGTCGCCCTACGCTTCGTGTGGGTCGTCGTCCTTGAAACGAATGGCAACGAACCCACTGTGGCGCGTTGAGAAAGTCGTTGCAGACCTGACTCGGCGAAAAGGGAAGATGGCGCAGCGCGGCTTGTCGAGCAACGAGCGAGGCGACGGCTTCGCACGCTTCGAGGCGAATCACATTGTAGTTGATGCTGCCGCCAACGCTTTTAAACGACGTTGGAGACGTGACACGTACCACGAGCGGAACGGAAGAAAGAGCAGGACAGCGTACGGCAGCACGAACGAGAGACCGTACCCGAGACGCAAGGCGGTCCGCGACCGATCGTACGTCGTCCAGTGCTGCAGCGCGTAGGCGGCGCAAGCGCCCGTGAGCAGCAAGGTTCCCACCGTCGAGAACGCCTGAACAACGTACAAGACGTGCAGTTTCTACCGGGCATCAGCACAAGAAACAACGGGCATGCTACGAATACTTGGAAGCTCGGCAGGACGACGTCGGGCACAAGCGATACAACGCTGCGCATGTCGCCAACGAATGCAGTGAACGGCGTCGACTGCGCGGCCAGCGCCGTCTTGGCCCCGAGCGCTGCCATGACGAGCCACAAACTGGTCTACACACACCTCGATACGATTGCCTACATCCAGGGCGTCGTGCCTGGATCACGCTCTTGCGCCAGCACATGTACTTGATCGCAAGCGGCGCCTTGGGGCTCTCGACGGCGGCCATCTCGCTCGGGAACACGTGCAAGTTGTGCACCGACATGTGCACGACGCGCGCGTACATCTCGCGGGTCCACGTCGCCATCGCTCGCCGCCCGCAATGAGAAAAGATATTTTTAAGCTGCTTAAATATGGCGCCGTTGCAATTAATTGTGGCGCGCAACGTAGAATCCGGTGATTCCGGATACAACAACGATGAGCACGCGGACGCTCGAAGGCTGGACCGATGGGCTGCGGGCTGCCGAAGCAGCGTATGACATCGACGAGGCCGTGCGCCTGCTCGTGGCGGACAACGACCTTCTAGCAACCCACTACAAGGCGATGGCTACGCACGTTCTCGAGGCCGTGGTCCCGGCGTGGGTCACGACGACGGTCGCGGACGCTGCAGCTCTGGCGATCGTGCCCGCGGTCGATACACTCTTGTCTGTCGCCACTGCCGAGACCTGGCGCCACGTGCAGAGTCTTTTTCTCGCGCTTTATGACGTTGTGGGCCGGCGCCAGCTACCTGCGCCGTCGCACGACATGGCGCTGCGTCTCCTGAAGCGCTTCCTCGACGACGACGGTCTCTATCGATTGCAGGCCGAGATGATGGCGGCGCCGCCCAAAGTACGATTTGAAGTCTCTGTCTGCAAGAGCTCGAACGATACATAGACCAAAAGCGTCGCCGACGAGTCCCTCGTTGCAAAGCTCTGCGCGCTGCCGGGTACGTCAACGCTGCCAATACTACATGACAGGGATTTCATGTAGCAATCGTGTGCAACCTCGATTCACCGCAGACGCAGCGCGATTTTTTGCCATCGACTTTCTTTCCGCGGCTCGTGACGGCCTTTGTGCGTCACCGAAGCGCCGTCTTCAGTGGCCACATCGGCGCGCTCCTCGTGCCCAAGCTCGTGCGTCTCGGCCACGCCAAATGCGTTGCGTCGCGTGCGTTGCTTTTCGGCTCGCTGGTTATTCATCGCTTCCTCTAGTGTGGCTCGCCAACTGCGCGTCGCCGAGCGAGCACTACCGCTGGCTCGAGGTACGCACGTCCATGACGGCATCGCGTCTCATGTGCACGCAGATGCTTCCGTCGTCTGCGTACGAAGGCCTCTTCTCCGAGACGATGCGATTCGCCGCCAATGGTACGTGCGTTGAATGTCTTGCTCGTTGGAACGAGATGTATGTAGAAGCGTCGGTGACGGTGGACTGGGCAACGCTGCTGCCAACGAGCATCGTCGAGCAGAGCATCTTCCAGCACGTGCTGAGCCACAAGCTGCTGCTCCACGCCAAGACTGCGCTGCCTTTTGCAGCGATTGAAGCAGCGGTTCGCGTGCTTTCTGGACCTACGACGCACGCAAGCCAGTATGATGACAAGGTTTCTTGGCTTGGCTTGTTGCGATGCGAGTCATTCTTGTGGCGTAGGCGCAGTCGCCTCTTGTGCACGTGCTCGACAAGCTCATCCAGGCTTGGGCGTTTGGCTGCTCGACGGACGCGGACGTCGATGGCAGTGGCGCCACGTTCATCGAGCTCGGTCTCGCAGAGCTCTCGACGCGATATGTCGACGCCCGCGCCGTCGTTGAGACCCGGGGCTGGATCGGATCGCTGAGCATGGGCATCCGAGTACGTACCAACTACTCTTTTTCGGCCGTGCACTTTTGCACGTACGTAGGAACGGATGGGGCATTCGCTGCAAGGGACACGGCAGTGGGGCATGGTCGTTGCGATCGCGCTCTCCAAGGTCCTCACGCCGGAGACGCCGCTGACCTTCGAAGGCGAAGACTTGCCTCATCGCGGGACAGCCCCCACGACGACAACGGCGCCGCTCGACCCATTGCCCGTCGTCGCCACGGTGTCGGCGCCGAAGAAACCATCTCGCATCGACCCTGATGCTATCGTCGACAGCGACGACGACAACAACGACGACAACGACGACGACGACGACAACGACGACGCGGCGTCGGACATGAGTCTGGAGCCGTACGAGCTCAGTGACGACGAGGACGAAGCCGTCGACGCGGTACGTCGTCTCGTGTTTGAAAGCAGCAGTGCTGATCGCGTCGCAGACCCCGCCGATGGTGTACCTCCTCGATGTTCTCGAGGGGCTGCAACAAGACGACGACCGCGACCGCGCCGAACTCGCGCTACGTTCGCTGCCCGCACTCCTTGACCGGCGGCCGTACGACCTCCACGACTTGGCCGTGACGCTCTGCCGGGCCGTGACGCGTCTCGACGACACGTTCCAAACGTACGTTTGCGTCGACTCGTTGGTTCCAAGACGATTTGGTGTGTAGACCGCACTTTGATGCGCTGCGCAAAGCGTCGTTGCGGGGGCTCGTGCTCGAAGCGCCGGCGCAGGCACTGCCGGCGTTGGCAGCGCAGGTGTTTGATTCGGAAAAGCTCTTTCAAGTCAAGCTCGACATCCTCTCCGTGCTTGCGCTCGCCGCCCCAAACGTCAAAGTCGACAAGCCGAACACGCTCAGTCTCTTCTTCTACCCTCTGCTTTTGCCGCTGCAGGCGCAGCTTGCAAACGCAGCGAGCAAGATGCACTCGCTCGACCACGTCTTGATGGCCCACGTGTTGCAGACGCTGGCGGCGGTGCTCGAAGCGTCCGGGCAGCACGGACCCCGCACGATCTCGATGGCAACGGCGTTTCTCGAGCTCATTTGGTCCCAGCGAGCGCACGAGCTGCCAAGTGTCCGTCGTCAGGTACGAACGAGTACGCCGATAGGATTGAAAGAGCGCGTTGTGTAGGTGCTCTTTGGGCTCAGCCGCGTCCTCCTCGTGCTGCCAGCGTTTGCGTGGAGCGAGCAGGTCGCCCGCCTCGGCCTCCAGACGTCGCTCGTCCCGTACCTCGATCAGTTGCGCCAGTGGGACCCGGACCACGGCTGCCGGTCCGCGGCCGGGCTCCTGCTCACGACCGTCGATACAGGCGCGTTCTTGCCATGACGTGGCGCGCTGCGCAGACAAACCTGTAACAATATATGCCACACCCAACATATCGAGTTGCAGAGGATTCGGTCGCATGCCAGCTGGTCCGATGAGCTTGGATCCGGCGCCCAAGGACGAACGACGACTGCGACAGCTCTTGGCCCCGCTGCTCATGACGACGACGAGCGTGAGTACGACATTGGAGATGGCCAGCACCGACGACAGCGAGGGCGACGAGGCGACGCTCATCACCAAGAGCGTCAACGACGAGACCGTTGACGTCAATGAGGTACGACGCCGGTTAAGATAGCGTTCGCCCATGGCCGATGGTCGTAGGAGGTCGAAGCGATTGGCTGCGGCTACTTCCACAAGCGCATGGTCGTGTACGGCGCTACGCATGAACTTGGCGATAGCTTATACAACGTGGTAGGATCCTGGGCCTCGGCAACGCGGCGGACGCGGTCGAGATCCTCGCCATCGGGTACATCTTGGCCGTGTACGACAGCCCGATCACGGAGTCCAGTACAGCGCCACCGTGCGCGAAGTAAACCTGACAACTGACGCCATAGGTTGCTTGACGGCGGCCGTCTTCGCAGGGATGCTCGTCGGCGGCTTCATCGGCGGCGTCCTGGGCGATGCGTACGGTCGGCGACCCGTCGTGCTCGCCAACCTCGCGATCAACGCCATCGCCGGCTTTGGCTCGGCCCTCGCGCCCACGATCTCGTGGCTTATTGTCTGCCGGACGTTGGCCGGCGTCGGTGCGCTTCTTGAAGCATGTCGTCTGCAACTGGAGCGACTCCTGTAGGCGTGGGTGGCATCGTCTCGTGCCTCTTTGCGCTGTGCATCGAGCACCTCCCGCCGGCAGCGCAAGGCCGGTACATTACCGTGCTCTGCTGCTTTTGGATGATCGTACGACAGAGTCTTTTGCCGTTAACGTCCAATTTGTTCGGCGTAGGGCTCGATCGTGACGGCCGGCGCGGCGTGGATCATGCTCGGCAAGACGCTGGATGGCGACAAGATCCTCCCGACCACGTGGCGCCACTTCGCAGCGTTTGCGGGCCTCCCCGCTGCCCTCTCGTGTCTGCTAACGTACTGGTTTGTGCCTGAGAGCCCGCGCTTCTTGATCTCCAAGGGCAAGCACGACGAGGCCACGCGCGTTCTTCACAGCATCCTCGCTCTCCACGGCGAGTCGCGCCGGCCGCGCCTCGAGCCACTCGACCACGTCAAGTTCCAGGCCGAGACCAGCGGCAGCAGCGTTGCGCAGCGCTTCGGCGCGCTCTGGGCCACGTACTCGCTCCGGCGCGTCTCGCTCCTCCTCTTTGTCGTCGCGTTCGCGATGAGTTTTGGTCCGCCATGCGTACTCTGTAACAGTACGTGGACGATGACGATGACGCGTAGGCTCGTACGGCATCTCGACGTGGATCACGTCGCTCTTTAAGTCGATCGGACTTGCGAACCCGTACGCCAATGCGTTCTTGTACGCTGGCGCCAACCTCCCCGGCAACCTTTTCAGGTCGGTTGGCGAGAGAAGAATGCGAGCCAACTGACGCTGCGGTAGCTTTGCCATGGTCGATTCCTGGGGCAGCGGCCGACTGCTCGCGCTCTCCCTCCTGCTCTCGGCGGCGGCGGCGCTGCTCTTTGCCCTCGACACGTCCCACACGCCTGGCTACGTTGTGTTTTGCGCCTGCCTCTTTAACGCGTGCATGACGTCGTCCTGGAACGCGGTACACTGCCTCTTCCCCCAACCTCTCTCTGTGTCTCTAACCCCTCGGGCTAGTTTGGCGTACTTTCGGCGCACGCCTTTCCGCTGCCCGTGCGCGTCACGGGCATGTCGCTCGTGAGCTGCGTCGGCCGCGTTGGAGCGATCTCGGCCCAGTTTGTCAACGGGTTTCTCATGGCGCCGCCACCCAACCTCGCTCTCTTGCTCGGCACGACGTCGACCGTCCTCTGTGTCGGGGCCCTTGCCGTGACGTACGTCACCAAGTACCTCCCGCTCTCGGGCCCTGGACGCCACGGTCCCTCCGTCCACCACTAGCACGAGGATCGACGCAACAAATTCATATCTTCGTGTACAACAAACTAGGGCGCTGGAGCTGACTTGGAGTCGTCCAGGTTGAGCTTTTGGAGCTGGTTGTAAAGGGCCTTGAGCTGCGCTGGCGTCATGGCCGCGGGGTCCATCTGCACACCGAGGGACGCCATCTGCTGTGCGAGCATCGCGAGCTCGCTCGTCGGAGCTGCCTTGGGCTCGCAGTCCGCAACGCGACGTGGATCGTTGCTGTACTGAGGTTCGTCGGGATACCGCGGCTGGGTGTTGTACCGAGGCTGGTCAGGGTAACGCGGCTCGTCTGGGTACCGCGACTGGTCACGAGGATCCATGTACCGAGACGGTTCCTGGTAGCGCGATGGCTCTTGGTACCGAGCGTCAGGGTGAGCACGGTCTTCGTAGCGCCCCACGAGCTCGTCGTCGTACCGGCGGCGGTTGTAGCCGTCGCGGCGCCGGGCGTCCATGTAGTGGTCGGGCGATTCTTCCTGGATCTGGCGCCGTGCGTCCATGTACCGGTCCGGATCCGCTGCACCGTTGGCATTTGGGCGCTGCGCTGTGAACGCGGCGAGGTTTTGCGCGTTGAGGGGTGCGTAGGGGCGGTAGTGAGCGTCGTCGTCGGACGTTACCGACACGGGGCGGCCGCTGGTCGGTGGCGGGCGCACGTCGACAGTCTCGGGTGCCACCATCTCACTCGGTGGCGTCATGTCCGGGTGCTCGAGGAGCCGCGCGCCGCGATCGTCGTGACGAGGATTGACGTAGCGCCGATCGTTGAAGCGTGGGTCCATGTAGCGAGGGTCCATGTAGCGCGGATCACGGTCGTAGTAGCGGTCGTCGTAGCGCGCTGGTTGCTGGCCAGCAAAGTACCGTGACTCGTGGTACCGAGGCTCGGGGTGGCGGACGTGGTCGTAGCGAGGGTCGGCGTCGGCGTACCGAGCATCCGGAAACCTCGGGTCTTCTCGGTACTGGTACTGGCGGGAACCGCGGGTCGTAGTCGATGTACCGCGGGTCGAAGTCGCGACTGCGCGTATCCTGAAAGCGAGCGTCCGGGTACCGGGGCTCGTGGTCTTGGAACCGCGCGTTGTGGCTCTGCGGCGGCTCGGCGAAGCGTCCGCGGGGGTCGATCTCGCGGCTCTCTTGGCTGCGCTCCTCGTACCGGTCGTTGTCACCACGCTCGCGGCCCTCAGGCACCGGTGCATACCGCGCTTCGGCAATCGGTCGACTGTCGTAGCCGTAGCGCGCGCCGCCGTCGTTGCTGCCGGTGTCTGACGCCTGCCACTCCTCATTGGTCGTGCGCCCGTTGCTTTGGTTGCTCTCGACCGTGTACCGCGACGCTCGAGACTGCTGCGGCGCACTCGACGGCTCCGTGGCCGAGTCCGGCTTGATGGACCGGGCGGCGGGCAGCATATGGCGGTTGGCAGCGATGACCGGCGGCTCGCGCCGACTAAACTGCGCCTGCTTGGAGCTCAAGCTCACGCTGACGTCCTGCGGTGGGCGCTGCAGTCCCCGCGCCATCCGGGGCGTGTGGTGGCTGTGCCGGCTCAGCACTCGCTTGCCTTCTTCGTGGTAATCAGCTACAGACACTGCGGTGAGCCGAGTGCTAGTTTGGAGAATAAGATGTACTCGAGTCTTGTTCGCTGAGGTTGTCGGTGAAGGCCGACTGGAGCTGTGGAAGGCCCTTGTGGAACGTCCCCACCGAACACGCGGAGCAGACGCGGATCATGGATCGGCCGAGGCCGTTCACGTTGATGTCCCAGTACTTGCTGCAGCTGCTGCAGACGACCTACGCGCGCGATCAAGATGCTATCGTGTCTGCCGCGTCGTACCTCGCCACATTTGCGGCAATTCTTCTTCTTGGAGAAAGGCCCAAACTTCTTGCTGCAGAGAAAGCACTTGCTCCGCATCGAGCGCGGAATGAGCTGCTGCTTGTCGAGAAAGACTTCGTTGCTGAGGCGCCGCTCGCGCAGGAACTGGTCAATGTCGGCGATGCTCCGCGCGCGGCGCTTGGCGCCCATCTTGACGATGAACTTTGGGATGTTGCCCTTGAGGTCGATCTGCACCGCGTGCATGGCCTTGAGGTACCCAGGACGGTTCGTCTCGAGAAAGACGAAGCCCGTGCGGTAGATGGACGCGCGCACGAGGTTGAGGCTGTTCTGCAAGTCGGGGCAGCACGGCAATTTTATCGAATTGAGCGACCGCGCCCAGCCGCGCTTGCCGTTCATCTCAAAGTCGTCTTGGCACTCGAGGTAGCACATGTCGCGGTTCTTGGCAAAGCCGTTGGGCACCTCGAGCACCATCCACTTGACGCCGATAAAGTGGCGCGGGTTCTCGGGCGTCGGGCGCGCGAGCGTGTAGAGCGACTGCGCGTCGAGGAGGTCCTTGCCAAAGTTGCGCGTGTACTCGCGGAAGGTCTCGGTCGTGTCCGAGCGGAAGAGCGCTGCGACCTCGTCGAGCGACGCCATGATCTCGGTCGTCGAGCAAAGGAACGTCATCTCCGACCCGACCGCCGACGGGTCTGAGCCCGTGTAGAGCTGAAGGCCGGCGTCGTCGCTGTCGAGGCTCCAGCGGATCGGGCCGCCTTCGAGGTTGGAGTGGCGCACGAGCTCGACCAGCGACTTTTGAGCGAGGTTGACCATGTACTCGCGCTCGTCGACCGAGAGCTCGGGGCAGCGGAAGAAGGTCGCCGGCAGCGGAAACGTCGTCATGCTGCTGCAAGTCGATTTGTGTCGTGTACCAGCATCTGATGTACCTGGCTCAAAGAGAGCGCGCGATCCATCTGCCGCTGCTTGTAGAGAGCGACCTCTACCTCACAACAAGAGGTTTGTATGCGAGAGGAGAGCATGCTCTCAGAGAGCGAACGAAGTTGCATCAACTCGATTAGATGGCGCCAACTCGTTCAACCCTCGAAGTGGTTTGACTTGCGTTTTGTATTCGAGTCTGCGTGACTCACAATGTTGGCAGGGTGGCCGCGACCACGACGAGAGGCAGCAGCTCATGACCGTGATTGTGTCGTCGTACCCTGGATTAGAGACCATTCATGTTGGTCTGTCGGCTGCACGTCCTTTTTTTTGAAGCGACCCCGTCGCGCGATCACAACAATCCACCAATGGCATGCGTGCACGACAAGCCGTAACCAGTGATTGTGATCGCACTGTTCGTGCTGCAGCGCGCGGCCGCGCGGCAGCTCAAGAAACGAGCGCGTGTGCTGTTTGCGAGCCCGCAGCGCGCATCAACGCAGCGACGGTCCCTGCCCACGTTGACATTGCAGTCACGACGCGCTGCCACGTCATGCGTGCAAATGACCGCGACGCGCCGAGCTGGATCTCTACGTATGCGTCGTCGGCCATCATCGCTGCCACCTCGGTGCAGAACGTTCGAAGTGGACGCAGCGTAATACAAGAAGGTGCACCCACGCAGGTAGCGACGTCGAGGCTTTCGCTGAGTCAATGACCCGCCTTGGATCACGCGCTGTTTTGAGCAGAGGAGGATACTATCGCAGTCGAATGCATATACACTGTGTACAAGAACTTGATACGCAGTCACAGGTAGTCGGACAATCGTCCAAGCCAGACCGGTGGGGCCGCCTTTGGCTTACCGGGGACATATCCGCTGGTGCGTGTCCCACACGAGTGCGCAGTGCAAGTACACACGTCGGTGTGTGCTCTCTGCACAGCGACGCACAGCGACGCGCGCGCGATGGCATCCGTCGTCGTCGCCTTGCTACTACGAGTATAGGTGCGTTGGCACGGCCGAATGATGGATACCGCTCGCAAGCAAGGACTTGCCCAAGCGAAAGCGGCGATGCGCATGGGCAATGCCCTTGTTGCGACGCATGGCGCGTTGCGGGAGAGGATTGAATCGCTTAATCAGTAGGTTTCGACAGAGCGTGTCACGGCAAGGCGTGGTGTGCTGTACTCATCTACGGGAATTGGAGCCCGGTCCATTACACATGACCATTGCTAGCGCCACTGCCAGCCGCTCGGCGACACAACCCAAGTCGATGCCATCGAGCAAGTTCCCGGTGCCGGACGAGTTCTTCCTCTCGCCGACGCTGCCCGTCGAGGAGAAGCGGTACCTCACGCACATTGCGCGCACGGCGTGCAAGGAGCTCATCAAGAATGCGCGCATGAACGGCGACACGGTCCAGTGGCACCCGATCGGGCGCCCGGACAGCGGCACGGCGAGCCACATCATCACGGATGGCCTCCCGGCGGCAGCCGAGATCCACTCGATGATGTACGAGGGGCGGTCCAAGCGCGACACGTGGATCAACAACCACAAGAACAATATCATCATGGGCTCGTGCGTCACGCAGGTCGCAGGCACGATCGAGGAGGTCGCCGCCTTCTACCAGCGCTCCACGACCGCCGAGGCGCGCAGCATGGCCGCGTCGTACGAAGAAGACTTTCTCGACACGTTCGTGCTGCACACGCTGACGCCGCCGACGCCAGAGAACCCGTGGCACAACATCACCGTGCGCTGGACCGCGACCAAGTCGCCGTGGTCCGTCGCCAAGCACCGCGACCTCTGCTACGTCGAGGTACGCTCCTTCTGCAAGCATCGTCGAGCTCAGGGACGCGTAGTGCCAAGACGAGTTTGTGGACGTGAGCGGTCGCCGCGGCTGGGTCCTCGCGCGCGAGTCGGTCTCGCTGCCCATCTGCCCGCCCTTGAGTGGCATGCACCTCGTGCGTGCGACGACCGAGCGCTCGGGCATGGTCTTCCTCGAGAGCGAGACCACGGGGCTCCTCAACGTCATCCAAATGTCCATGATCGACTTCAAAGGCTCGCTTCCGCGCCTCATGTCGCGCGTCGCGATCCGCCGGCGGCTGGCCGAGGTGCTGCACTTGAACCGGTTCCTGCACGAGCGCCGACTGAGCCACGAGCCGATTCTGGGCGACTTGGATCTGATTCCCAAGGCCGAGCGCGTCTTCTGCAACGTCTGCAACAAGAAGTTTGGCGTCTTTACGCGCCACAAGGTACTTCGCTGGCCAGTCCTTCTTCGACCAACTCAACGCGTCCCAGGTGCGCTGCCGCAAGTGCGGCGAGGTCGTCTGCATGGCGTGTCAGAATATCTGGACCGTCGACATCGCGGTCCGCCACACGGTGCACAACTACAAGCTGCCGCCCCGCGCCCGGCGCAACGTGCGCATCTGCGTGCCGTGCTCGCGCGAGACGCGCGTCCGGTCGCTCACGATGGCGGCGACGACGACGATGAACACGAGCATGGACACGATGCAGGCGCTGCACATCTATGGCGGCGTGCCGGCCCACGGCGGCACGATGCGCGAGTCGGACGACCTCCTCTCAGATGGTACACGTCACTTCCTCTTCTTCTTCGTCTTCTTCGGCTCAATAAGCGCAGTAGACATGCTTCAGTCGGCGCGCTCGAAAGCCACGACGTCGTACGAGTACCCGGCGCGACCATCGACGCTGCTCTACAACATTCCGTCGACGCACAACGAAGATCGCCAGGACGACGACGACGACGACAGCCGTTTGTCGCTCACGGACGACAACTACCGCCGCAGCAAGAGCCTCGAGGTACACCAAACGACGCACTACGAGTACGCGGGCGTGTACGACGACGACGACGAAGCCGACGACGAGTGGAACCCAGCGCTCGAGCACCTCGCGCCGCGCGAGTTTGCGGCCAACAACGAGCGTCTGAGCATGATCAGCGCCGCCGACTCGCTCTCGCAGTCGTTCGTCTCGAGCATGGACTCGGTCTCGCACATGGGCTCGTACCGCGACTCGACACCGCTCTTCAACTACCGCGCTGTCGACGTCGACGCCGCGCGCGCGACCCGCCGCGGCTCGATCCCATACAACTCGAGCATCTCGTTTGGGTACGAGCTCAAGCAGCCGCTGTACCAGGCGCAGACGACGCAGCAAGTGATCGAGCAGCTGGTCACGAGCGCGCGGCAGCTGGACGAGCACCGGCGGTCCTCGGTGATCGGACGCACGTCGCGGACGTCGAGTCGCGAGTCCGGGCGCGTCTCGGGGCGCGAGTCCGGCCAGACGTTCCAGTTCTGCGACAACAAGCTCGTCGGCATCCGGTCGTCCGAGATGAAGAAGACGCCGGTCGTGTTTGACCCGACGTCGAAACCCGCGACGAGCTGGCGCGACTCGAAGCCGTCGACGCTCTTCGCCTCCTTCAACTCGAACCACACCGACTCGGAGAAGACGCCGGTGCACAGCCGGGGCAGCGCCGACCTCGACTTTGTCATGGAGGGCGACGCAGACGACGAAAACAAAAAGGTCCGGGTCACGGAGCTCCGCGAGCGCATGCAGGTCATGACGCAGGACGTGCTCCGGGGCTCTGGGCGGCTCCCGAGCCAGGCGTCGATGGGCCAAGAGTCGGACGATGGCCCCGAAGATCTCGTGGCGCTCTACAAGGAGCTCAAGGCCATGCGCATGTAGTATTCGTCAATCTTCAAGGCTCGGTCCTGTTGAATGAACACGCTATTTGCTTGGCCTTCATGACCAAGCATGTCATGATCCACTCCGTCTCACCGACCTTGACGTCTTGCGATCCCATGCCGAGTTGATGGGCAACTAGCCAAGCTGCTCGACGATATCCTGGAGGCGCAAGATGGCGACGTCCTTAGTACGGATTACGTATACATGTGAGGACAAGAAGAGTGCTTGGAAGGTGAATTGCTTCACCAGTTGTGGTCGCGTCGTGTCGAGAAGACTGAGTGCGGAAGAGAACCGCCGAACGCTGGCGTGGCAACCCCAGGACTATGGCCGGCTTTGGTGCTAGCGATGCTTGACGAGAGATCGTCGTGCCAATGACGAGCAGCAAAGTGAGATCGTCGCGACAGAGAAGATTGCAACACCCGTCGTCCTTCGGGAGCACTCGTGCTTGGTACTGCGAGTACGAGGGAGCACTCGTGCTTGGCGTTGCAAAAGGCCTGGGTAGACTAGATGTGACGCTAGCCCCAAGAACGAGCGAGCGTATCCGTGGCGTCCATGCCACTACAAAGCCGCATGCCCAAATCGATTTGCTTCATAAATTTGTTCTTGGGTTCTGGAGCTCGATCGACAAAAGTGGCAATAAAACGAGCTATGTAAACGCCCAGGGTGTGCAAGAGAGGGGAAACTTCACGCGAGACTGCCAAATCATGGAGGTTCCTCTTCCTAAAACAGTGCAAGCTGGAACCTACTCGGACAATTTGAGAAGGAATTGCGTCCCAAACGATGTACATACAAGAAGGATTGGCTCGAATGGCAGGAATATCGATAAGATCCAGCGCTGGTTCAAACGACAGGCGTTGTTGCGTAGTATGCATCAAGGTATTTTGGCTATCAACAGAACGGACTGCGCTAACAAAAGCGGCACAATATATTGCATAATTTCCATCGCGTTGGTGCTGAAAGCTCTAGACCCTAGGTTATAGAGCTGGATGCATTGAGAATACTGCTTCAGAGTTTTCGCAACGATTTTTATCGCTCTGGTGCTGCAGGCTATGATTTCTTTTACGTACGTTTAGAGCTGCGGTGGCAATCTAGCGAATTTTCGATCAGATTTAATGCTACGTAGAATATCACAACGGGTGACGTGATCGCGCCAGTCGTCCTCGTCACGGTTGCAGTTATGGGCCACACGGATTCGCTCATCTCTGTCTTGCACGCATGGCTTCTGAGCATATCGACCAACGACAGCATAGTACAAGTTCGTGTCGTACAGGCGCAAGCCCACAAGCGCGCGGTTCCTCTACCAAAACGATGCCACCAGCAATTCAATGAGGGGTAGGGTATGCGTCTGCCGAGCTCAGAGAAAGGCCATGGTCGTCTCTCTCGTGGCTCGTGGTATATCAACGCATCGATACAAGGTAGATACCCGGTACTTTCTTACTCGTAGCTCGCTGGGGGTCGGATCGGTGCATTGGCTTCTATGGGCGCCTTTGAGTGTTCTGGGCACCGACGATGCGCTATGTGGCCTTTCCACTTTGGCGCGCGCATGAAAATACGCTCAAGCGCTCGGTCCTTGGAGAGTATTCTTTGAGAGCCGTGTACTGTATTGTGCGCGGTCAGCACCCTTCCAATTCTACGCATTGGAAGCGTAAGCTTGACCCAGTGCCGCCGACTGCAACGTTGCAACAGACTCGGAACCCATGGCGACTACAGAGTCCTTAGCGAGCTCATCGACAGTGCGTGGCGATATAAAGCACGAGTCCACGCATCACCGCGAGATCCTGAGCGCGGGCCGCTGAGATCGCCGCCTTGCCAAGCGTCGACGACTGCAACCCCACCGACTGCAACACTTGAAGTTGGCGACAACATGCCAAAATCGGGCCAAAGCGTGGTGGCTCCATGGGCTCCAGCGCAAGCAGCGCTGGCCCAGCCTCTAGCCGAATGCATGGCGCGTGCTATGGCGTTCGTCGGTGCGTCAGGTGACGCCCACGTGCAGTCCTGGCAGTGCGGTCACCGCTCGTCGCCATCGTCCACCGTTCCTGAACCCATCGCTGGCACGTCGTCGTCGTCCTCGCTGCTTGCTCGCCGGTCGCTATGTGATATCGTCGCAAGCAGCGATGATGGTGGCGGCCTCGGGACATCGTCGACTGCCGATCTCCTGCCACACGACGCATCGACCGGTACAGTGTACGGTCCGAGTGCATGCGCGATCCAAGATCGTCCTGCACTTGATGTTTGTATGTCCGTCGTACGTGGCGATTGGAGGATGCAGCATGGGCAGACAGGCCCAAAGGCCCCGCGACCCTTTTACGCGGAGAAGCTCACTTTTCGATTCGCGATGCGCTCGCTCAACACGTCCGAAGCCATCATGGCCCGCGTCCACGGCCTCTGCCTCGACTCGCCGCTCATCGGCGTCGTCGACCTCGACGTGCTCGATCCCTCGACCTTCGACAGCACCGCGTACGTCATGGCGCTGCAGACGTCACTCACGTCGCTCTTGCTGACGACGCCAGCACTGCAAGAAGTGCTCGTGCCAGACAAGACAGCGACGATCGGTGCCACCGACGACCAGCTGCGCGCGGCCACTGTCGAGCTGCGCGACGAGACGGACGACCTGCTCGCCAACTTGCTCACGATCAACTTTGACCTCGTGGGCGAGGTGCCGGTGCACGTCGTGGTCACGCACCCGTCGTCGGCGCTTGTGCGGGTGTACCTTGTCGTGGGCCATGCCTTTACGGACGGGCACTCGCTCTTTACGACGCTCGCACTGCTTCTCGCCGGTGTCTCCGACGACGTCTCCTCGACAGTCCCGGCCCGGACGCCGTGGGTGCCGCGGCCGCAGCCGTACGACTTGCCATCGGACGTCACGTGGTGGGACGAAGTGACGGGCATGGCGGCGTACTCGTTGCTCGTTTTGAAGCAAAAGTTGTTGGGGCATCAGTGGAAGCCCAAGACCGACACGAACGAGACGATCGCCAACGCGCTCTTGCGTGGACCCGAGTCGTACCCGCAGTTTGCCTACTCGGCAACGGTCTCAGCTTCGGTTGTGGCCCGTCTCCGGACGGCCTGCCGGGACCGCGGCTTGACCCTCTCGTCGCTCTTCAACGCTGTCCTCATCGCGACCGCGATGGAGCGCTTTGAGCCGCCGAGCGTCACGGCGCAGACCATGATCAACCTGCGCAGGCACCACGTGCCGACCGCAGGCCTCGGCGGCTACTTGGCCGACTCGGACCTGGCGACGCTGCATGCCGCCAACTACAACGACGACGCGCTCTTGTCCCCGACGACGCTTTGGGCCATGGCCCACGACGCCAAGTGGATTCTGTCGCCGCGTACGATCAAGCGCGCGGTCGGCCGGTCGTTCTTTCTTCGGCACTTCGAGTCGATTCGGCACGTTCCCGCCGCCGAGATTGCGACCGGAGACATCATGGCCACGAGCTTTATGACGTCCAACCTCGGCGCCAATCCGTACTTTGCCGCGTCGTACCCGCATGGGCTTGGCGTGCGCGCGTATCGCTTCTACTATGGCGCGATGGTGCCCTTCTTTGCCTTTAGCACGTGCAAGGACCTGCACGTGACGCTCACGTGCCGCACCGCGTGGCTCTCGATGGCCGACGCGGAAGCGTGGCTGGCATCGTTTGTGACGACCCTCACGTCCCTCGTCGACGAAGCGTAGCCCATCAGTATCAATAAGAAGTCGATCAACACGCATGAGCCAAGACCTGCGATTCCATTTTGTTGCGTGTCGACTCGTTTTCGCCGGGGCACATAATTTGTGCAATGCTATGCGCAGTGTGCGTGCCGTAGTTTGGACTCGTCGGTGTACGGCATCATGTGCATTGACAACCTCGTGTTTTCTTGGGGCAGGCGTGGTCGAGCTTTGTGCTTTAGATGGGGCGTAGGGCCGGTGGGCCATCTAGCGGTCTTTCTGCGTAGTATGCGCAGTGGTTGATCCGTGCAGAAGGTTTTTGCAGCCTGCCATCGAGCTTTTTGATTTCGGTTGGGTATCGGGGCAGCGTGCGACCTAGCGGTATGTCTGTGCGATAACACTTGGACCGGTATTCTGCTCTTGTACTAAACACGGTTAACGCACCCTGCCCAATGCAATCCGCATTCACATGGCGAATATGCGGGGTGTCGAGGACCGCTATCGGCCTTCGGCCGGGAACCACACCGGCCCCCGAAGCTGGCGTCCACACCATGGCCGGGTCTCCTGCTCTGTGCTTCGCGCGCAAATTGCAATTGAAACCTCCAAATCAAATGTAACATCCGAATACACTGTACGAATCTAACATCACGATTCAACACTTTGATCAAACACCACGTGTAGCACCAAGATCCCGCGCTTCGCGCAGGCCACATCAACACCGAATACACTACTGCGCACAGTACTCTACCGCGCTGCCGTGTACTATCGCAGGTGCACACGCTACGCTCGTGGCTGGCGCATCGATGCCAAAGGCACTCGCACATGGCATACAGTAGGGCTGCTACCGCCGGATGCACTCGCTACGCTCGTGGCTTGTGCCATCGCGCAAGACCCGACTGCGCTGGGACTTTGGCTCAACTGGCAGGAATCGATGAGGTCCTGCGCGGGTTCAACCGACAGGCGTTGTTGCGTATGCATCAAAGTTATTTCGGTTGTCCCGAAACCCCAATTATCTCGATGAGCAGCAGCGTCGTCGCGTCGTCCGAGCTACAAGCGGCAATCGAGCCGGTCCGTCGAGACTAGTTCCTCCTTGGCTTGGCTAAAGCCACTTGTTCCAGGAGCCCGAGCACATTGACTCGAAGGAGCAGGTGGTGGTGGTCGCTGAGAATGCCAACAACGCCGAGGCCATTGCTCCCGTGAACGAATCGCCCAAGCTGGTACGTACTCGACTGCGTGCTCCTTCCCATTGCCACCATAGCCTGTCGTCGATGTCATTCCCGTGCAGCCCAACGTAGGACGCGACTGCGATCTCCCTTTCTCTGATTGCATCTTATTTGTGTAGGAGGAGAGCTCGAGTGTAAGCGCCAACCTGCGTTTCCGCTACCCAGCTACGGATACTGTAGGAGCCGGAGACCGTACCGGTGCTACCGATCACACCAACGACCCCTGGCAGTCGACCCTCGTCCGCGCCGACCGCGCGCGCCCCAGCGGCGACGCCGGCCGCTGCGCCAGCCGCCAAAGACACGTCCGAGATCCCCTCGACGACGTCCCAGCGGAAGCGGTCCATCACGGCGGCGGACCCAGCTCGCGCGCCTCTCGAAATCAAACCCCTCGTACTTCTAGCTGCCATCGAAGCCATTATCTCATGCACTGTATGCAGAGCGACAACCGGCGCAAGGCCAGTGCTCCCAACGCGTCGCCTGCCGAGGTACCTGCAGCTGACAGTATGCTTGCTAACCCATCCACGATAGACGACGATCCAGGCTGTCGACGTACTTGACTTGTGCAATCGAAAAGATGCGTGGACGTAGCACCTCTGTAGAGCGTACTCCTCACCGAAGAAGAGCGCTTGGACGCGATTGAGGCCTTCTTGCGCACCAAGGTACGTCGCCTTCAGCACTGCAGTATCTTCAAGCAATGTGCTAGATTCAAAACCAAGGGCCGTCGACACAAAAGGAGATCCGCGACTGTACTCCACATCTTATCTTGTCTTATTGTCTATTCTGATGGACGATTTAGTCATTTTCGGCCGCCTCTCGAGTCTGCAGATCCGAACGTGCATGCCACTTATGATGGAGCGACTGCAGACAGAGCTCGGCGAGACCTTGACCCTCGACGTGCAGACGAGTCTTTGCGTCATCAACGAGCTCGTGCTCGAGCTCGGCCGCGCGTCGCCGCTCGCGGGCATGTACACAGACGAGGAAGAAGCGCTGCTCGACACGCTCGAACACCGCACCGTACTCTAGTCGCCTTCTTCTCTTGCAAGACCCATTCATTGTATTGTCTTGCGATTAAGGTTGGAACGTAGACATTTATGCGCAGCAGCTTCTATCGTACATATTGTCCTCGCGTCTAGAGGTCCGACGTGTTGCACTTTTCGTCTGGTAAGATGCGCGTGACTTGACCGATGCCTTTGGCTTGGCCGTCGCGGAAGACGAAGCGCATCCCGACCTTGAGGAACTCGGGGTGCGTCACGAAGCAAAACGAAATGCGGGCGCGGTCGCCTGTCCGGATCGTCACGGCCTCTTCTTGGTTGGACGGTGGACTAGACACAGATCGATGTATCAATGTATCGAGTCGATAAGATACGTCAACCGACCTCACGTCGTCGGTCGAGATGCCTGTGATGGCCGCCGTCTGCCGGATCGTGCGGCAGTTGATCATCGGCTGGTACCCGACCGTGATCGTCGTCTGGTGGTGCAAGATGATCGTCTGCGCTTCAAACCTAGCTCAGCGCAGATTTATTCCCAAAAAACCAAGAATGGGACCTACCGGCGCGAAATGTACGGGGACATGTCCCAGTTCGCCGACACGAGCACCATGCCCTTCCGGAACGTCGCGCGGTTGAGCACAATCTTCTTGTTGACGCAGCGCACAGCCATCGCGGTGGTTTGGCCGGCGCGCACCTCCTTGAGCGGCACGTACATCGACTCGATCGAGCGCACGACAACCTGTCCAAAATCGTCAACGAGGCTGCCATCGATCGCGCACCGACCTTGATAAAGTGGCCGTTGTGGTCCGGGCCCATCTTGAGCACGTCGTTGGGCTTGACGACGCCCGAGATCATCGTGCCGGCAATGACAAATCCTGCGCCCGGGACTTGGTACGAATCGTCGATTGGCATCTCGACGGGCAGCGCTGCGAGCTTGGCGTTCTCGGGAGCGTCGCCTGCTGCTGGTATCGTGAACGAGAGCGCCGAGCGGGCTAATGCCTCGACGTCAATGTCCCAGAGAAGCTGGCGCAGGTTGGCCAAGCCTGTGTCCAAGGGCTTTAGACAAGCAAAGATGACAATAGTACCGTCGCCCGTGACGTTGGACATGGGCAGGATCGGTGTGAGGCGGTTCGATGGCACGCCCTTTGCTGCGTTCGTCGCTTCGTCCAGCGTCTTGACGAGCATGCCCATCTTGCCGTCTGTACATCACAGTATAAGTTTGACGACGGCCAAGGCAAGGCAGCATACATTGGCGCAGGCTCTTTCGGATTGTCTGCAACGTCTCGCGCGCCACGTTCTTGGGCGCAATGTCGATCTTGGTCAACGCAATCACAAGCGGAATCTCCAGCTACGCTAGCTTGAGAGATCGAGCACGCATACCATGGTCGACTACCGAGATGGTGATGCCGAGGTGCTCGAGCGTCATCTTCTTGACGCCCATGTTGGCGCCAACGACGACGACCACGAGGTCAGGTTGCATGCCCGTGAGGCCGTACACGGTCGTCTTCAAGTAGCGTTCATGACCTACGATTGCCACCATGACGCTCGTACGCAATCGACCGAGAGACGCACCCGCCAAGTCGATGAGCTGGATCTTCTTGTGCGAGTACTTGGCGAGTTCGGACCACGGCAAGACGCGGCCCGACCGCTTCGCCACCACCTGGTCGCCACGCGCGTCAAAGCCCATGTAGGCCGTTGCGATCGAGCTCGTGCGCCCCGACTCGACTTCGTGCTTGTGGCGAAAGATGGCCTGGCGCGAGAGACCGCGGCCATCGTCGAGTTCGCCGCGGATCAGCGTGCCTAGACAGTGCGTTCGCCGGTGGTTCAGGGTCGTGGCATCGCACCGATGAGGCTCGACTTGCCGCTGTCGACGTTGCCGACGAACGCGATGCGCAGCGTGCGCACGCCGTTGTTCTCTTGCTCCTCGACCTGGTTGTTCCCAGACATCGTCGTCGCCATGCTCGTTCCCTTGAAGTTGGAAAAAGGATATGGGCACCCGGCGCGATGGCAACGGTCGACGCGTTCTTATTGGCTAAAATTCGTTCGAATCTAGCCGATGCACCAACACTCAGCCGCGGGGTTCTTCGCCGGGCGTCCTTTCTAGCTGTTGTTCGAGACGCAGCGCGCACCACAAGACAGCGTGCCCCGTCGCGCCGCCCGCTTGCGCCGCCCACCACGTTGCACGGCCTTCTCTGTACCGCGTCGGCTTCTTCTTGAAGTTAGGAGGTTACGCATGAAGCGGGAAGACGGTCCATCTGCCAAGCCCGGACGCATCCAGCTGCCCATGCGAGCAGCAGATTCCTCAATATCGATGTAGACGCAGTGGCATGCGATGGGGCAGGGATGGAAGCCCTCGTGCTGGTGCGCTGACGTCGCGGGTCGTACGAAAGTTCAGAAAACGCGCACAAGTTCGCGCACCCCAAGTTCGCGATGCACACGGCTTGCCCGAAACGCGAAGTGCAGTCTCAGACATGCCACCGCGTCGTTCGTAGCGTCATAGCCACGCAGGTCCAGAAGAAAAGCTGGGTCTTGCGACGACAACCGAGCCTCCAGGATATCCGCACTCTACGAGCAAGCGTTGATCGCTCATTCAACACGGCGACCGTGCACAACGCTGGGCGTTGGTCGATTTGTGTGTGTGCCAATCATATCGCATGGACGTAGATTCGACGGCAACAGATTCCATTGCGATCACGAGCCTACTAATAGTCGCGCGCCTCAATGTGGTTGGCGCTTAAATACGCGAGCAGCTTCGTGTGGCCTCGGCGCTGGGCAAACTCGAGTGCGCTGGTCGAGCAGGCTTGCTGCGTTGCTCGGTATAGGTAGTCGAACACATGGACATGTCCATGCACGGCGGCCTTGTTGATCGCCAGCGATATATTGCGCAGCGACTGGGCGCCATAGAGGTACTTGACGACGTCGAGGTGGCCGGCCTCGGCAGCAAAGCCCATCGCGTCCACAGAAAACGTGCCGCCGCGAAGGCAAGCGTACGTTCGGCGTACCGCACGCCGCGGGCGACGAGCCACGTGACGACGTGCATGTGGCCTCGATACGCGGCGGCGTGGACCGCGGCGCTCGAGAAGCCAGGCGCCTGCCTGCCCATGAGCAGCTGCAGAATGCGCAAGTGCCCGTAGTAGGCCGCGACGTTGATCATGGTGGGTGTGGTATGCGTTGTCGCTGGAAGCGCAGCCAAGAGGTCAGCGTCGCCGTGCCGCACGCTGTGCTCGAGCACCCACGAGAGCAGCTTTGGCTTGCAGGCCACGAGTCGTTTGGCGCCGTCGACGCCATGACTAGCATACCACGGACCAAAGTGCAGTTGGAAGTGAAAGAGGTCAAACTCAAAGGCGGAGATGCCCCACGAGTCGCGGTGGAACGACGACGACGCGCCGAGGTCCGCAGCCGTAGCTCGTACCCACGGCTTGGCAACCCATGGCTCGCGGCAGATGTCGTACACGCCGCCTTGGTACGCACAGATCGTACGCAGAAGGTCGCTGCTTGTGAAGACGGCCAGCATCTCGTTCGTGTCGCCGCTGCAAAAGAGTATCTTGCAACGGCCACTGTCGTCGATCCTCGATCACCTCGCCAGTAAAACGTCGCCGAGCGCGTCCTGCACGCATGCAGCGTATCCATTCCAGAGGCACGCCACCGAGTCGTGCGAATAAGTTCTTGGCCTGCTGGAAGACCGCGTCCAACACGCCACGCGGATGTCGGTCGCCAGCGGACTGAGACTGCCGCAAGGGTGAGTACGTGGCAGAGCTGGTACCATTCTTTACATGCAAAATGTATAGATGGTATATTAGGGAAATACTCCATGCATGATCATTTTGTGTTATCATGACCGACGCAACCTTCCTCGTGGCGCCAAAGGGGAATACAATTCGCCTTAACCATGTCATCAGAAGGACATGGTCCGCAACCAAACACACTCTTTAACGAATCCGTCCCAAGTACATCACTATATGGAGTGGAAACGTGTAGCTCATGAACCAACAACAAGATATTCAAGTCAGCACTCTAGCGTGTGCACCCATAGAGTAAGAATAGCTTTGTTTTGAAGGAACTACCCATCCGGATACGTACAATTTCGACAACGCCCACTCATAAAATCTTTGGCAAGCCGCGAGCAGGAGCCTCTACCGAGATGTTCAAGTCGCGCAAGCACCTCGAGCACCTCCCGCACGGTATTCCTTCTCCTCCGATTAGACCACGCTAAAGCTGGTCGACGTAGAGCCCATGCGCACCGTGCGCATCGTCCTCGAAGAGGCCAAGAACCTGCCCGTCGGCGACCTCGCCATGTTTGGCGGGTCCAGCGACCCGTACGTCGTGCTCTCGATCGGCGCCCACCGCTGGCAGAGCCCTGTGTGCATGAAGACGCTCAACCCGCAGTGGAGCAACCTCGAGTGCGAGATTGCGCTCACGCTCTCTGAGGTCGCAGCCGAGCCCGTCTTACGTGTTGAGGTCTGGGACTTTGACTCGGTCACGCCCGACGACCTCCTCGGCACGACCGAAATCAGCTTGGCCGATCCTGCAAACCTCGGGCCACGCGTGTATGAACTCACGCCCGCACTCGAGTTTGCCAAGTCTGCGCCGGTTCGTCGCCGCTTGCAACCGGCTGCGCAGTTGACGTATTTCTCGTAGGGATTGATTGCGCTCGACATTTCGATCGGCGCGCCGTCGACGACGTACACGGTCAACGTCTGGGAGAACGAGCGCTGGTCGCGGACGCACCGCGAGTGGTCGAAAGACCACTTGACCGAGAGCGACCGGCCCGCGTGGTTTGCAGGCGGCGAGAAGGGCGGCAAGGACTTCAAGGCCGCGGTCCCCGAAGTCCCTGTGGGCTACAAGACCAAGGGCGCGTGGACGTTCTACCCGATGGCGGGCACAGACGAAGGCTGGCTGTACGGCCACGGTTTCTCGGGGCCGTGGCACCAAGAGAAGGCGGTGCACCACACAGTGCGGACACGGCAATGGATCAACGAATACCACGAGCACTTTGTCGGCGACGACGAATGCAACAACCACGCCAACCATTAACTGAATCGTGTCAGTTCCACTTGTCTGCGCTTCCTGACCTCGTTGCATGCCAGGACCAAGGGTCCTACGAGGAAGCTCCGTTCTTGTGCCGGACGGTGTTGTACACTAGTATAGCTACTAGTATGATACTCTGCGCCAGGCAGTCGCGGGCGGTATCATCAACGGAAATGTCAGGTTTCAATGTATCAGTTCAAGCCACACGGTGGAAGCCCCGCACATGGAGGCGGGCGCTTTCTCGGAGCCCACGGCGCTGTCAACGCGAGACACTTGACCGCATGTCTGGGAGGCGACCGTGCGTCATTGACCGTGCGTGATGACCTCAACACGGCAGGTCGCCCCGTCGCGGTCGCCGCTGCATAAACACGGCGCAACACAGTATGATGCAGTAGATTACGCATACGAGCAGTCACGCACTTCGCGCAGGTGGCCGAGATAAGTTAGGACCGCCCATTGGTGGTGGGCGCGGGCTTGCTGCCGCACGGAGCGCGGCGCGCCGCCGACGCAGTCGCAGAGAAACTGCACGACGTGGAGATGCCCTCGACTGGCCGCGGCTTCCAGCGCAGCGGTGACGTCGCCTTCGTGGCGATACGCGTAGAGGAACTGGACGACGGCGAGGTGGCCGTTGGCCGCCGCCCCCGTGAGCGCGTCGGCCGTGCAGCCTTCGTCGCGCTTCCGATGTAGAAACTCGACAATGTGCAGGTGTCCGTTCTTGGCGGCCCAGTCGATCGCCCATGTGCTGCCGCCTTCGCGGCGACAGTAGTGGAGGAACTTGACGACCTCCAAGTGGCCGTTGTGGGCCGCGAGGTCCATGGCGCGCGGCGTGCAAAAGTACCGACCAGTCGCGTGCAAGTAGCGCAGAATGTCGAGGTGTCCGTGCTCGGCGGCCCAGTCGAGCACCCACCACGAGCCGACGACGCCGTGCAGGTGCAAGAAGCGTACAAACGGCAGCGACCCGCGGACGACCGCGACGTCGAGCGTGGACCGGCGCCACGTGCTCGCGAAGCCGGCGTCGTGCCATGTGACGTGCGAGATCGGGAGGAACGTGGGCTGCGCGGTCACGAGCAAGAGCCACCGGTCGTAGTGGCCCGTCGCGAGCGCTTCGTCGAGCAGGATTGGTACGATTGGGTGGCGGCAGGCGGCGAGCCGTAGGAGGCCGCGCGGGCCATATCGGGCGTGCCATGCGCGCATGAGCGCGTGGACCGATGTGTCGATGAAGCCGAGAAAGTCGCGGATGCCGCTGCCCGTCGTCGCACCGAGCGTGGCTTCAATGCTGGCGGCCGACGTCATCCATCTCGCTGGCAGCGTCTGGCACAAGCCGTCATAGCCCGCTTGGTACGCGAAGATCGTGGCCATGAGGTCACGGCTCGTGAGGACGCGCTGCATCGCTCGAGTGGCGAGATCGCAAATGCCCGGTTGGGTGCTGGAAAGGACGCATAAATAAATGTTTAATCAACACTCGATGTTGACACGCAAAAGATTCGGCTTCGAATCGAAGGCGACGCGACAGGCAGCAACCACGGCTGTCGTCGACCGGGCTGCATACGTCATCGGCGCCAGGAAGGGACGCGCCCCAGCCAGAGTAGCCACCGCAGCGCCCTCTTAGAACGCATACCCTGCCACAACGTCCGCATCGCGTCTCGCAGGTGGCTACCAGACGCCCCCGCAGGGACCTCTGGAAATGAATACCCCGCCGCACGAGCTTGCACCCAAGCGTAAAGGCAGCTGGCCTGCCCCTCGGCACCTTTTCCTGGTCGCAGACTGCACATTCGTTGACCTTCTTTTTTCAAATGTTAGTCGAGCTGTGACGTGGCGCGTCGCTGGACGACGTCGCGCACAAAAGCGGGGTACCCGCCTGTAAAGACGACTTCGTGCTGGAGCGAGACGTGTACGAGGGCCTCGGCGGCGCGTTCACACGCGTGGCGTGTGCCCTCGATGCAGATCGTCTTCCACGCCGCGTGGTCGCCGTCAACCGAGACGACGAGATCTGTCTCTTCCATGAGGTAGAGACCGCCAACAACCGTCGCGACGCGGCGCTTTTGAACGCGGACGTTGATGGATGGCGTGGGCAGTGGCGGGAGCTGGAGACGCGCCAGCGCCGTGTTGACGTCGGCGTCGTCGCACCGATGCTTGCCCCACGCTTCCCAGCCTTCGCCAGCGTCCACCGTGCGCACCTTGATCTCCAAGCGTTTCCCGCTGCGATGCTTGATCCCGACGCCTGCGCTGTGGGCGATGTAAACGTCCGTACGTTCTTCCACCGGCGCGGGCGGGAGCGTCGTGTACCGATGGCCGGGCTTGGACGGCTGGAAAAAGACGCGAAACTCCATATGCGGCTCGGGACCGCTCGACTCGGCGCCAAGCGTAGAGAGCGGTGCAACCTCGCCGCCTCGCTCGAGATACATGGCCCAGTTCAGAAGCTCCTCGTCACGAAGCTGCCCCGCATCGGCCCACGCCTGGAGCTCGGGCACAGTTGTCCACGCCGCCCCGAGCGACTCGTCATCGGCCGTCGTCTTGATGGGCGCGCTCACATCCATCGGCTCGGCGTAGAAGACGATGCGCATGCGGTCACTTTGTGGTCCTATTGGCGTGTGCTCGACACGCAGGACGCCAACGAGTCGAATGTCGATGCCAGCCTCCTCCCGCGTCTCGCGGACGGCGGCGGCGGGGAAGGTCTCGCCATTCTCGACGCGGCCCGCTGGCAGCCACCAGAGGCGATTGTGCTTGGATGTTTCCTGCACCGCGAGCCAGCGCTTCGTGCGCGGGTGACGGACGACGACGACGGCAAAGCAGTGCATGCTACGATCGACCGTTGGAAAGGCCACTCTGGCGTCGGAACTTCAACCAAGTGGCTAAATCCACCCAACTACGTCCACCGACCAGACTCAAGCAAACTATTCGCAAGATCCATCGAAGCGGATGGAAATGATCGGATCAGGTCGCCGCAGACCACGATATGCGACTGAGCATGGACGGGTGGCCACGGCGGGACCGCGTGTGGGCAGATGTTGAACCGAGCGCGCCGTGTGCAGAGACAGCGGCTGCGACCAGGTCGACGACGTCAGCGCAGTTGGCACGGCTTCTCCTGAAGAAGAACCAGTCGTCGACGCATCAAGCCGAGTAGCTGGACCACCGGGCTACGACAAGCCGTCTCCTTGAATGCGACGATGCTGCGTTCTGAAAACACAAAAACCATTTCTTATGGCCGCACCTTACTACTCGGACACCGAGACACTACAACAACAGCAACAACAGGCTACCCGAGGCGCCACTGCACGGGCGTCGTGCTCGGTGCGTGGTACGCCTTGAAGTTGTCGACGTGGTCGCGGAAGATAGAAATCGCGTCGGTCCAGATTTCGCTGTTGCGTGAAATGTCGGTTGCGACGCTGCGGCGGGTGCTGGCTGGCGGTGCGAGGGCGCGGAGCATCTCCCGCGTCACTCGAGACGACCGCACGGACGACGCTGCCGTGTTGTAGCCGTCCGACACGTCGTCGTAGTCGTCGTTGAGGCTCCACGCCCGCAGCATGCGGATCGAGCTCGCGGTCGAGTCGGACGCAAACGACGCGGTCGCTGTCAAGAGCGACGTCGACGACAGTGTCGACGGCGCAGCGAACGCGCACGCGAGGCAGAAGGGCACGACCTTGTGCAATCCCGGCACGAGACCCGTCGTGCAGCACGCGGCGCAGACGCGGAGGCTGCACGCGCCGCACGTTTTCTTGGTCTGCAGGCGCTTCCATGGCTTGAAGCAAATCGGGCACGCGCGCTTGCGGTGCTGGTCCGTGAAGAGAAACGTATCGGCGTTGCGTAGCTGCCACAGCGCCTGCTCGAGGTGCTCGAGGCTCGCGACGCGCCGCTTGGCGAAGAGACGCCCGAGCACCTTGGGGAGGTTGCCCTTGAAGTGCACGTGCATCGTGTGCACGGCGAGGAGGAGGCCGGGCCGCAGCTGTGTAAAGACATAGCCCGTCATGCGCAGCGTCGCCCGCACGAATCCATGCGTCGCCTCGAGCGACGCGCACACGGGCGTCTCGATGGACTCGAGGAGGTACGCGTACACATGCTTACCGCGCTCGTTGACGACCGTGTCCCGGCACTATGCATGCAAAAGGCAATCTCAGCCAGGACCAAGAGGAAGACGAACAAGTACCTCGAGGACGCACGCGTCGCGCCCCTTCCCGACGCCGGGGACAGCAAACGCCATCCACTGGACGCCGACGTACCGGTGCGGCGGCTGGTTCGGCGTGTGGGCTTCAAAGAGCCGTGTCGACTCGGTCGCGTCGACGACCTGGAACGGCTGCAGCTGCGCGCAGAGCTGCGCGGCCTCGTCGAGCGTCGCGTGCAGCTGCGTCGCGCTGGCAACGACGACGCTGCCGTCGATCGCGATGCCCGAGTAGTACTGGACCTTGCCATTCTCCGAGATCTTGTCGAGCTTCCACGAGACGCGGCGGCTGCGGCCTTGCACCTGCGCGTCGTCGACGTACAGTCGCAGCGCGTGTTTGGCTTGGAGCACGAGCGCGTCGCTTGGGGCGCGGGGTGTTGTCGGCGGCACCAAGCACGAGGCGCGGTCCATGACTGCGGAAAAAGTAATCTGACGACGGACTCGGTAGCTTGTCGCGCAGCTGAACCGATCTCCGGTTCCTCCCGGTGATAGTCCGCGGCGAGATGGCCATTCTCTTCGATATAATTTGGACCGTCCACCGCCTCGTCGACCAGCAACCTTGTCGCGGCTACTCCCACGCAGCCCAAGGCAACCTTAAGGCCTACAACGTGCTCTCGGTGCGCTCTGTGGTGGCACACGGGATCGATGCCGTTGCCACCGGAGCGCAACGATGGTAATTCATTTCGGGTTGTTCTGTGACGTGGCAGCGGCTCCGACGCCGTTTCGTGTGGCGCCAGCAGCAATCTCGTCATGTCGCCACCTGACTATCCAGCGGCGCCAGGAGGATCGTCCTTTCGACTGCAGTGGTGCCAGTGACACGCCCACGGTCCTTCCCAAAGCGGTCGTTGACAGTATGTTCTGGGTTGTGTGTGTATGTAGCAGTCGGACTAGCTAGTTGTGTGTTGTCGCATAAATAAGCGCGGCTTAGACGCGGACCACGGTGCTCTTCTTGAGTCTTGCTTGGTCGAGCTGGAGGCTCTCGAGTTGCGCTTGCAGCGACGCAAGCTTGGCTTCGAGCGCGCTGGCGTCCAGCGCCGCCGGGTCGTCCGCGCCGTACTCCTCCATGAGGTCGCTCATCTGGTTCATTAGGACGCGCATGCCCTTGCGCTTGAACATGGTCGCGTTGTTGGTCTCGTCATCAATGTCGAGGGACCCGAGGCGCGACCGCGGCAAGCTGATCGTCGAGTCGCTCGAGTCGCAGCGCGACCGCCGCAGCTCCATCGAGAGCGCGCTGTTCTCTGGCAGCGCCAGCGGGTTGAACTCGGCGCTCGCCGCCGTCTTGCCCGGCTGCACGTGGATGCGCGTGAAGCGGCGCGTGAGCGAGATGTCCCCTTCGTCCGTCACCTCGTGCTGCTTTTGGCAGTTCATGCAAAACCCCTTCCGGAACAAGTTGGGCTTGTACTCGTGGCACTCTTCTTCGAGCGCGACTTCGCCCTCGCCCCAGCGCGCGTCAATCGGCGGCGACTCGCCGAGGAGCGAGTCCAGGTCTACGGGCACGCACGGCGCCTCGTAGCCCGGGTCGTCCACTTCGCTGTACCCGCTCACGTCGAGGTCGACCGAGTTCGAGTGCGACTTCTTCCGCAGCGCAAACGACCCCTTCATTGGCACGTGCATAAACTCGTCGTACGAGTACGCGCGCGAGAGCGACGGCACCGAGAGCGACCCCGACACTAATGCAAAGCGACCATGCGTCACGTGTACGAGGCGTCGAGTCGCCACGTACCTGGTCCATTGAAGGACTCGTTCGAGAGGTGCAGCGAGCTCAAGTTGCCGTTGCGGACCGACGCCGTGCACATGGAGCAGATGGTCACCTTGCGCTTCCGGTCGGTGTGCGGAATGTCAATGTTCCACGTGTGCTGGCAGCTCGAGCAGACGACCTCGCCGCACTTGCGGCACTGGAACTTGCGGTTCAAGAACCGAAACTTCTTGCGGCACACGTAGCAGTTGGTGCGCGCGGCCGTATTAGTGCGCCGCACATCAAACTCGGTGAGAAGTTCGACCGACTTGAGCCGGTACTCGTGCACGCGTGTGTTGAAGTGGATCATCGTGTTGAGCCGGCCCTTCAGAATAAGGTTCTGGACCCAGATCGGGATCTTGCCGCGGAAGTCGACCTGGAACATTTGCGTCGCCTTGAGGTAGCCTACGCCATCGTCACTCGCATGCACTACAACGGAGAGGCCCACCGTGGTTCTCCGACTCGACAAACGTGTACCCGGACCGCTCGAGCGAGCCCCGGATCGAGCCAAACGCCGACGGCAGCGCCGGGCAGCACGCGAGGTCCATCGAGTTTTGAGAGAGCGCCCAGCCGCGCCGGCCTTTGGCGTCGACGAAAAAGTCCTGCGTCTCAATGTAGCAAAAGTCGCGGTTGAAAACGAACGCGGACGCGGCCGCGGGCACCTTCATGCCGGCCCACTGCACCGAGACCTTGAGCGACGACGACGGCGGCAAGAGGCGGCGCGGCGCACTGGCGGATGCATCGTGTGGCGGCGTCAGGTCGTAGAGCGTGACCATGTCCACGAGGTCCTCCGAGTCATTGACGTACTTGCGCAGCTTCTCGGGTGTGTTGTACGCATGCATGGCCGCCACCTCTTCGAGCGAGCCGGCGACTTCGGCGACGGCGCAGAGCATGACGAAGTGCGTCGCCTGCGGCTTGGTGTTGACGCCGCGATAGAGCATGACGTTCTGCTTCTTGCCAAACTCGTTCCAAACCACGTCCTTGTTGGCCTCGAGGTTGGCGTGCTTGATAAAGTCGAGGCTGGACTGCTTCCCGAGCGCGACGAGGTGCTCGCCCTCCTGTCGGCTCAAGGGCGGGCACTTGAAGAAGCCGGGCGACAGCGGGAAGAACTTCTTGGACATGGTGGTCTTTCTGGCGACTGCGCGTCGGGCAAAGCAAGGCCACGGTACACTGTAGCAGCAGAATTTTTTACTCGCCATCTGCCTTTTCTGAATGTCTTGGTGTCCGCTCAAGTGCGATCGCATGTTACACGATCACTGGTTTTACGTATGCATGCCTCGTAAGTACGTCGCACCTATGTGGCCAAGTGTCGCGTAATTATTTGAATCGAGCAATTGCATTGCAAAGTTTGTATGCACTTGTCGGAAACGCATTGTATTGCATCGGCGCCAGCTGGCCGGCGAGTCAGCCGCTGTAGGTCATTTCGTGAGAAATGGCTCTTTGGCGCCTCGCCGCGCTGCCGACGGCGGCGACGCTCTCACTTGCCTGCAGCTAGCGCCGCAAAGGAGGTCGTCCCCTAGAGACGGCCGCCGCTCGCTCTACAGGGCATGCAAACCGCACCACGACCGCGCACTTGATATTTCACACTATTTCCGTGGCACAATGCCACAACTGCCGACCAGCCCGAGCCCATGACACACACGCGCCCAGACACACGTCTCCGTCACGCTAGATTCGGGCGCGGTTGACGGCGGGGACAACGAAAAGTACGATTGGATCTGTTACGAACGAACGCACATCCGGCCCGTCATGGCAAAGTTAAGCGTTAACCGTGATGCTAAATGTCACTGGTTCTGTGGACAATATCTGTGCACTCTATTGCCGTTGCAAGTTTCTAGCAGCGTTCCAGGGTACCGCTTGTGTCGTCCATAACGTATGAGCCGGTTGCGCTGTCGTCCTGTCTAGGCGATCGCGCACGAATCAGAAGCCGGATGCCAAAGAGGCGAGGAGGATGGCTGTTCAAGATCTGCACCCGTACCTGGTACCTGGTGGAGCAAGGATCGACACAGTGTACTACAGGCAGCGAGCCATCGTAGTCGTTGCATGTATCGTCATCCACAACAGCGATGTATGGGCGATGCGCGTGTGCTAAACAGCACGAGCAAGCCATCTACACTGTACGACTCGCACGACGTTGGATTGTCGTTCTAGTTACCGTGGAATAAAACTTGGACGATGGCGCACGTGAGGTGAGTGGCGCCATCCCCAGCACATCGTTCTCCGATCCAATACGCACGCGACACAAGAGAGGTACACCACGAAGGGCTCGACGTTGTTCCTACGCCAGCGCTTCACCAATACTCAAGATGGATGGCGACGCGGGCTGTGTCATGGCCACAACCACGGCGGTGGCTGCAATCACCTGCACCTGTATTTTTGGCGAAACCGACGCTAGAGACACCAACCTTGAGGTTGCATTTTCCTTGGCGACTCAGTTCAACAAGCTGGTGCGCGTGTCTGCGGCGTTGTCGCTCCTCCGACATCCCATCGTCGCCCAGGTTCGTCTACTACAGGGTACACTTGCACAACCCTATATCTCTGGTACCCTCTCAAGACTTGCACGGTACGCTGCGTCTCGAAGGAGCGCGGTGTAGTTCTTAGTAGGCCAGCGAACCTGGAATTTGAAGCTGCTTTTAAATTGGTGCATAGTCCGCATAGAGCTCCGCATAGGCTAGGACGTGATGGCAACCGTACGTGCCTACGTTCCCGATTCCATCGTTCTCCTCAAGGATTGTCCGATGAGCGTGGACAAGCGTGCAGCAACACTGCTCGTCCATGATACGCAAATAGTGTATATCAGCAAAGCCGGAGCCGCACCCGGAGTTACCATTCGGATACTGCTGATGGTAACCGGAGATCGCCGTATGCAATAATATGAACTCGGCGGTGCTGACGGTGGCCGACCTCGGCGACGACGTCGGCGACATCTACGCCTGGATCGACGCGCAAGTGAGCGTCGCGCCGGGCGACCCCAAGGCGCACCTTGAGAGCCTCCTCCCGCAGTTCCACGTGCTTTCGCAGGAGCTCAGTGCCAACCTGCAGCAATGCCTCGAGACCTTTCCGTCTTTTGTGAACCACGTCCAGCTGCTCCAGCTCAAGACGCAGACGCTGGGGCAGAGCTTGCATACGCGTAGCCCGAGTACGACGTGCGCGCGCGGTATGTACTACGCTCTGGCCTAGCACTACTACTGCGTGCATGCTCTAGGCGACGCGACGCCTGCCTACAACACGCTCTCGCAGCTGCATACGGCCAAGACGCACATGCAGCAGTGCTCGAACGCACTACAGGAGAGCGCAGCATGGAAGCAGCATAGCCGATACGTCGTACAGGCAACCACCGATCCAACGCTCGACTTGGCCAAGCTGGCGACGCATCTCGCTGCCATGCACAAGAGCCTCGAGACTCTCCAGCGCATGCCGGGCCACGACGAGCGAGCCGCCACCATGGATACGTACACCTCTTTGCACTTTGATGCAATACCTAAGGTCTCTCGATAGCGTGTCGCGGGACGTCGAGGCTGCGCTCGTGCCGCAGCTGCACACGCTTCTGCAGGAGCCGACGCTGCCCTTGTCACCGCTGCAAGACTGCCTCGCGATTTTCGGTCACTTGAGCCGGGCGTCGCTCGTCGAAGACGCGTACGCAAAGCGCCGGCCCGCGCCCATGCACCGTCTCTGGCACGCGTCGACGCCCGCCGATGCCGACGGCCTCGCTGCCTTTTACACCGAGGTCGAGTCGTTCTTGGCGCGCGAGACGCGCTACTGCCAAGAGCTCTTTGCCTCGCCGCTGCCTGTTCTGCTCGAGCTTGTGCATGCGACGCTGTCGCCGCTCGCCTCGGCGGTCGCGAGCCTCCTCGACGCGGCGCCGTCGCAGCTCTTGCCAGCGTTCAAGGCGGCGACCCGGTTCGCGCACCACGTGCTGTTGCACAGTATTGTGTCGTGGACGACGCCGACGGCCGCCGATGTCCACAAGGTTCTCCACAGCGTGTTTGGCCCGTTTGAAGCCAGCTTCACCATGTACGAACGCATCGAGACGAGCGTCGTGACCGAGTCGCTTCTCGCCCTACTGCCGTCCACGTCAACGCTCCTCGCACCTGCGGTTGACGAGCTCAGCTCGCGCATCTGGCTTCTTGTCGAGGCCCGCGTTCAGCACGCAATGGAATTGATGGCCGGGGCTGTGCTGCCGGAGGCCCTCGAGGCGCTCGTGACCGGCCTCACCGCGCTTGCGCAGATATGGTCCAGCAAGATGGCGCCGGCGCCGGCGCCAGGATCCGCCGTCGATTGGAGCTACCTCCACGAAGCCTTGGCGATGCTCAAAGCCTGCGGCGGTGTGCTTGTTGCTCAGCGTGCGTGTCAAGCCCGTCTGCGCCTCCGGGTGTTGCCGACGCTTTCCCTCTGGTTTCCGGACGCGACGCCGCCATCGTTGCCGCCTCGCGTACGATGGCCATGGAGCCTCTTGTTGTTTCTACTATTACTACTGTTCAATGGCTCTAGATCCAATTGTCGCCGACGAGCAAGGCGGCCGCGGGTCCCGACGCGGCGCTGCACGTCACCGTCGACGACTGCATCAACGTCGAGACCCTCCCCGTCGCCGTCGTCAAGCTCTGGCTGGCGCGCGACAAGGCGCGATACCAGAACCTCCAACTGTGTAAAGAGGCGGTGGCGACCGACGACGACGTCGATGTGGTCAGTGACGAACCCAAGTGGCCGTCGCTTATCGTTTGGGCTCGTAGATCCTCGGACCGGTGTTCCGCGACTGGACGCTTCACGTTCAGCAACGTACGTATGCGACGGTGCTGACGCCGGTCGCGTCAGTGCTGGCGAGCGTTCCCACGATGGACTGCTGGATTCAAGCCGACGAGAGTGCCGACTTGCCGACGTTCAGCATGCTGCCACAGGTTGGTCGGGATGTAACACTTGCGTTCCAGGAGGATGACGTGGCAGTGTAGGAATACATGACGTCGGTCGCCGACTTGCTCCTCTCGCTCCTTCCGCAACTCGAGCCGTTTGCTGAGAGCAGCGGCCTATCGCAAGCGCTCGCCGCCAGCACCAACATCATCGAGCTCAGCCACGAGGCATGGGCAGGCGTCGCCCGGGTCCTCGGCGTACCCCAAGATGAAGCCTTCTTGCAGCTCGGGGAGCTCCCGGCACTTGATGCCGACGCCGGCCCCGCCGCCGCTTTTGTAGACCAGTGGACGTTTGTCGTTGCGTCCGGTGCGATGGCGGCTGTCTTGTCAGCGCTACTGGCGATTCCGCAGCTCAGTGCGACTGGGAAAGCGCAAGTTGTCTGTGATGTGAGCTACCTCCAGAACGTGCTGCACGCCCTGGGTGTCCCGACGCATCCGCTCCTGGTCTACTACAAGGACCGCCTTGGCGGCGACGCACTTTCCGAGCACCTTCTTCCGACGTCGATGACCGAGAAGGTCGATCTCTGGATCCGCCAGCACGCAGCTGCGGACGTGTAGAGTCTTAATCTTGCGTTGCATGCAAACCTGCCAGTCTCTACATCGCTCGCGTTGAAGCTCCCGTATCGCAGCGCCACCGTGCATACGACAAGGTTGGGAACGTTCGCGCGCCCTTCTTTGCCCGCCACGTGGGAGGTTGCACCAACGACGACGACTACATATTCTGTACACAGGCTTCGATCGATCGCTCGTCGTTCGCACCCATCGGTGTTGCGAGGTTGACCACCGGCGACGCAACGGTCGTCTTGACGTCAACACGAGTGGTGCACCACGGTGCATCACGCCGCCCATCGGCGCATCGTACGCCGTATACAACTGTGCACCCGCGACTCTTGGGCACGCTTGTATACGCCCGCCGAGACATCCGTCGTACGTACAGTGGACTTGGCGCCGAAAGAATGTCTTGACCGGGAGCCGGGCCTGCGATACACGCCCCAGCTGGCAACCTGGCGCGGCTAAAAAAAGTTTGCCACTGTATGCAGTTGCCACGTCATTGGCTTGCGTTCGGTATACCGACTCCACTGCGCGCCGCAGCAGGTGGCGATCCCATCAGTTTACAATTTCACAAGACCGAGGAGCATGTACCAGCAGCACTCTGACTTTCACAACATGATGGCGCCACTGCCCTTCGCGTCGTCGGCGCCGACGCCGCAGTATACGCGGCCGTCCATCGACCTCCACTGCATGCAATCGACGATCGATGCGCTGCTCGAGTCGGACATTCATGACACACCGCGCATCTCGTCGTCCGCGGTGGCGCCGTACCATACCGACACGATCGCGTTCCTCGCGTCGCATCCGCCAGTGCTCAAGCCGTCAATCTCGGCCGCCATGAAGGCGTCGTACCACGAAGCGGTCACGTCCCAAGCCAAGTCGGGTGAGTTCATCCCTGACGACGCGCGCTGCAAGTACAAGACGGGTCGGTGCCCGCTCAAGCGCGCGACGAAGCGGTCGGGCCGGCCCCTCCTTCTGTGCGAGTACCACCGCATCAAGCAGAACAGCATCAAGCGCAAGAGTGACACCAAGTACCGTCAGAACCGCAAGCTCGCGCGGGCACAGAAGAAGATGCACGGCGATCTCGGGAGCCCGTCGGGGTCGAGCGACAGCGGGACGCCCACGGCGAGCCTCGAAGGCGACGACATTGAACTGCTCTCTTACTTTATCTTATAATTTTCAATCCTTACTAACTACGACGACTGGCAAAGTCAGAGCGACGCATACCCATCCTTCCACCACATCCAAGAAGACACGAGACAACGGAAATCCGTATATACGGGCGGGTTTAGAGGAGTCCAACGTGGCCGCGGGCAATCGCATATCGCGTCGGCTGCGTCGACAGCGGAAACGAGTGCATCTTCCACCCGAGGGTTTCCATCGTCTCGACAAACGCCGGGAACTCGGTCGTCGTCGCCGCATGCGCCGTGGCCAGCGCCGAAAGAGCCGTTGGCGCCCCGGCGTCGGCCAACACTACCGCATTGAAGTACGCCTTGAGTTCGTCCATAGGCTAGACACATGCGACAAGATGGTCAGGTTCAGCGCGCCACGTGGAAATGTGCTGGCGACTTGTTACCGTCGCAGACACGAAGAGCGACGCGACGACGGTGGACGAAGCAGCGTCCACGGTCAGCACGTAGTGGTCGTCCCTAGCGATCAGGTTTTCGAGTGTTTTGACCTGTTTCAACCTACTTGTGCAGCGCGAGGAGCGACGGGAGGTCGAGCGACGGCGGCAGGCGCCCACCGAGAACAATGCCAAGACCACCTCGTCGTGGCAAGATCGGTTCCATCGCGTTCACGCGCGCAATGCTGAGCCTCTACACGTCGCCAGGATCATTTCGCCATATGTCGTGGGTCGCGGAGTGCCACGGTTGCAGTTGACTCTGTCGTCGTACCTGCGTCTGGCTTCCTCGAAACGAGCGGATCGCAAGCGTCGCACGGGCTTGGTTGAGCGTCGGAATGCAAAGTGACGTCACCGCCTATCATTCATGGCGTAGGGCTAGGGCATGCACTGGACGACAAACCTTGTAGTTGGCAACGACGTGGATCGCGGTCAGCAAGAGGAACGCGACCCAGACACTCGCACGTGACTGGTTGACGAGATTGGCGAAGTACATGCCAGTGAGCAGCCCCAGAAGCGTCACAAAGGTCTCCTGCGACCCTTCTTTTGCCGCAATGTCTATGCAAACCATTCTGCCTCTCGGAGGTTTTCGTCACTTGGATCCCCACCCGCCATGTTGTCGGCCTTGGCAAAGTGCGCAGTCAGCGACGACCGCGTCGCTCCGGCGGCGACGCCACACATGGCCTTGCAAACCGACGAGACGCAAAGGATCTGCGTTACATAGCGAGGTGCGAAGGGCGCGAGCATGTCTAGCACACGAAAAATGACCCAGCAGTCCAAGTTCGCGAGCTTCAAACCGAGTGTCAGACCCACGTCGTTGATGACGTCCGCGTAGAGACGCCAGAACTTGACGTTCGCGTCGAACTTGGGGCCAACGCCGTACGCGAAGAAGAGCCCACCCAGCATGCCGGACCCGTCGCGCATGACCCACTGCAGGGCGGCGGCAAGGGGCGTGATGGCCTCTGCACATATATATAAGCAAGCGTCGTGGACGGAGTGTACCGTTGCCGACGCCGACGCTCTCAAGGACGGACTGCGTCGCGAGGACGCCGCGGAGGTAGCTGCACATAGCCTACATGCGATCGTGCCTACCAGGTTCGCTGACAACGGGTTAGAAGCGCACTTGGCATGTATCCCAGAGCTGGAACGGCAGGTAGTCCTAGCACCGCGCCATTGACGTTCATGGCGTGAGCCTTTGTTGCCGAACCTCGGTGACGCTGCTAGGGTACCCCGCCGGCAGAAACATGTCAAAGAGCTCGCTACGGATAGCTCTAGGCCAGCGTACGTACATGAGAACATGGTCACCGAGTGCATTAGATGCCCACTGCACGAGCCACGTGGGGCGGCTGCGAGGTGGCGACGCGCTCGGCGTGCCATCGGCCACGAGGCGGCTGTCTGCTGGGCGCCAGACCTTGGCCAGCGGCGGCGCATGTGCCCGCGACGAGCGCACGTCGTACTCGACGACAGATATCAGCGCGGTGCTCTCCTCCGCTCGGGCGCTGCGCTGCTTGGCCTTGCGCTCCATCGGCGATCTTTGATCTTTGCTGACTGCAAACGTACACTATTTATGTGTTTCTCGAAATAGTGTACATATCACTTTGCCCTTTCTGTCAAATCAAATGGGATCGGGGGCGCCACTTGGCGTGGATCCAATTTTTGCCACCTGCCAACGCCGACGCGTCGATTCAAGTGCGACATCGACGGCGACGCCGTGGCGCACGAGGTTCGCCAAGCCTGATCCGCGCCAATGCCACCGATGGCGCCTGCTAATATCGAACGTGCTTCGATTGGCGGAGGCGCGACATGCGCTCGCAAGTAGCTCGCGCTTGCGAGAAGTCTTGCAACGACGGTGGTGAGAACGCTGGCGTGCCACGTGGATACGCCTTGTACATGTGGCACCGGCAGCTTGACATCGGTTTGCAGGCACGAGACGATTCTAGAACAAGTCAGTCGGGCGGAAGGCAGGGAACTCGTGGAGTCAACGGCATGCTCCATCAGGATACGAAGCCACCACAGAGCAGGTGCCCGCTCAGCCGAGTTGCAAAAAAGACAGTACCGAACGAGAGAGTTTTTGCGAGCGCACGACCGCGCACCAAAGATTTAGAGGCGAATGGGGCCTCGCGCCGCCGGCGGAAGCCAACGATTTTCGATCACAGGAAAAACGACCGACGCCATTACCTGTCGGACCTGCAACAGGTCCCGTGCGGGGTGAGCTGGTAGGAACTTTTGAATATATATTTGAACGTGTTTCGCGTTATCTTCGTTGCTTCAAAGAGCTCGCATACGTTGAGACTAGCAACCTCCGTCTTCTTCATTCGCTCGCCGGGCCGTGGCTGCGCAGGCGGCGGCGCGGGGGCTCGTCTTGTTCTGTTGTCGGTCGCCCGGGGGCGCTTGTGGCCGCGGGTGAGGCTTTGTGCCTACACATATTCCGTGTGTTGAGTCAGCGGTGTGCGACGCAGGACGAGGTCCATCGAAGAGGTGACAATAAGACAGCGCCAATGTCCGTGTAGACCGCGCGGTCGATATAGCCAGTGGCCGTGGACTTGGTCCAATGGACCGTTTGTATCGTGATGTTCGGTTTCGTGCAGACTGTACGTGAATGAAGGCAAGATACAGTTGCGTCCACGAGACACAAACGACAGAGCAGGTTGAAGTAGACAGTTTGTACATACCCTACATTGTTCGGACTCTAGCAGCAACGACTCTGGCAACGACTCTAGGTTCCACCTGGATCTTATACAACGATCACCTGCACTCGGTTTCGCATGCATACAGTACGGATGTACACAACGGACATGTCTTCACAAGCCGCAGACGCCTGAAAATAGCCAGCGGTGTAGCGTCTTGACCACCCGCATTGTTGCTGGTGGTGACTAGATTGAGGTCTTTGTCTTGAGTCGTTCGAGCCAGCTATTAATACCTCGTAGCCGCGACGATATACAACGAGGCAGACGTGGGACGACCTGATTAGCGCCTCGCACAAGATGCTGCTGATGCAGCGGATACAATTCGTGTCCAAGAGACCTGCAGAAGAGCAGCGGGAATCAAGCCGCGGATTGTCTATCCAAGGTTGCGACCACAGAGTACTCCGAATGCGATTTTCGACGATGGCCGGCATCCCTTGCTGCTAGGGAACAAACTCCTGAACATTGAAGAGCACTTGGCTACCGATGTCGAAGTAATACGTAAATCTTGGCAGGTGGAGTCTTTTATTTAACTTCAATGCCAGATGAAATTAGGGAGTTAGAGCACCAAATTCGACATGCGTAGCAAATACAATAGTGTGCATTATGGTACTAGTATATAAATCTCAAGCGGCTACGATGGGATGGCCGGGGGGAATTTTCTTCTTCTTAAATAGTTGCATCGAGAGGACCGGGATGTTGCATGGCCTTGGAGAGGTTGTCGGCTACGATACGCGAGAGGTTGGTTGCTTGGTTTACGGACGGCGCCGCCTCGGTGGCTGCGAAAATCTTGGGCACGACGGGTACGTACTTAGCGACTTCGAGGCAGCTCGCACGCAAGCGGGCGCTCCCACACACGGCCAAGACGATGTTGCCAGCGTGGAGCCGCGGCGAGCAAATCGAGTAAACGATCTGTGCGTGCCACGTAGGCGTAATGGCAGTCGCGGCGCAAATCAAGTGGATCTGGCTGTGCAGCTCGGGGGCAGAGAAGAGGCGCGCGGTGCGAGGAAGCCACTTGTGGCAAAGCGCTTCAATCGTCGCCGCCTTGTCTTCGCAGAGTACAAAGACCGTGCCGAACTGCTTGGCATGCAGCAGAATGCGCTCGATGCTCGCATCCAAGTTTGCGAATGCAGTCTTGGTCACGTGTTGGCTGCTCTTGCGCTTGCGTAGAAACGTTGTCGGGCACAAAAAGTCGTTCCACGAGACAATAAATACGGTCGGCGCCGTCGACGACGTCGGCGGTTGGGCGGTGTACGCAGTGCGGCGGGCGACCGAAGCCATAATGGTAGTGCGGTACGAACACGAGCAAATGAAAAGTGCGACTCCACCGATCCACAGTTTCGGAATGTTTGTTCCTAGTGTTTTAAACACAAGATTATAGACGTGATTAAAGTATTGACGAGGAGAGGACTGCTGGTCGAAATGACCATCACTCGCCGTTTAGATTGCCCCATGCAAGAGGTCATCGATGAAGGTCGGCCCAGGAACCCCGGGCAGGGCGAGCGCTCCCACGAGAATGCTGATGCAGAGTAGGATCATCGTATCATACGTACGAGATCAAAAAGTGCTCTCTCGCGGGACCTCGGCGCTGATGCGCGTGGACAGAAAGTCCCATCCCAGTCCTGTCCAATTACTCGTAGGACTGCTGCTTGTATCCGATGCGAGTTGCTCTCCCGACAAGATATCAAATCACTTGGGATGCTGTGCAGCTGAAGCCTACTTTATGCCCCAAGTACAGTGGCGGTTTATCGCTGGAGCTTTGCGCTCTACCCGCCGCCGTGTGGCCCGCAGCTACACGCACCAACCAACTCTATAGTATCGATATGTGCAAGAGTCGACCGGCTCACTGCTGCTGTACATGGTAATAGGATCATAACAAAAGGAAAGGGGTCCTTTAAGGAAAGGGGGATACTACATGACGAGGTGCAGCGGGCCGCGATGGAAGGCGACGTCGTCTAGGATCGATTCGAGCTGCTTGAGCTTCTCGATGCAGTCGGGCAAGTTCGGCTCCAGCGTTGTGAGGACGAGGCGCTTTGGCACGACGTGGTGGCTAACTTGAGCGAGGCTCCAGTGCCACGTGTGGTCGTGGCCCACGGCAAGTACCGAGATGGGCTGGTCGATGCCGTCATGGCTTGCTGTGCGCGCGTAGATCGCCTGGAGAACCTGCGCGTACCACGTTGGCGACGGCGTTGATGACGCGCACACGAGCTGGATGCTAGAGCACGGATGGAAGAGGAGCTGGCCCGTCCGCGGCAAAACGGCTCGACAGAGCTGCTCGAGGTACGCCTGTGTGTGAATGGAGGTGATGTAGACAGCGCCGAGGCGACTCGCGTGGGTGAGAAGCGCAAGTATGTCGGTGTCGAGCTGGCGCAAGGAGGCGGCGACGAGGTGGAACTCAGGCCCGTCCTTCGCGGCCGCGAGCGTGATGCCCTGAAGCCACGTCGTGGGGCAGAGCACGTTGGTCCAGTCGAAGACGATGGCCGAGACATACGGCAGCGACTCGCTCGTGTCCATGTCCGGCGAGATGGACACCATGCGCACGAGGCCTCCACGCTGCATGCTGCTGCCACCGGGACGACTTGTTGGAAAATGAGGAATTTCGAACCCGAGAATGTTGGCAACTGGCTCAAAAGATACTCTTTGCAAGCGCCGTCTGTCAACGGCGTCGCGACTGCGACCGGCAACGCGAGGTCGGCTACAGCAGCGCTACACGACCTGCTTCTGGCACATGGAGCTCTGATGCCCACGGAGACCGCCCGCGCCGCTGCCGCGAGCCTCCGACCGGCAGCGCGTCGCTTCGATGCGCACCTCGCCCTGCTCCATACAACGACCAAGATACCTTGTCGAGCCAATCACCATGATATCCTATCGCTGGCAGCTTCAAATGCTGCATCGTGAGCTGTAGCTGCTAGCTGAACGATGCATGCGTGGCCTATCCCTACGTGCCACCCTTGCGTGCCACCAAGCACTGCAGCTAAACACTGCAGGAAAATGGCCGCCTTTCTCCATGTACCTTGCGTCAATCAAAGTGCAGTGACCGTGCAAGCTTCCATGGAGTGATCCAAGGTGGTCATGCCGCAGTGTAGCATCCTCTTGCTCGTCTCCACTGGCGTGTCCCCACAGGTCGGTCGCCACACAGCTCAAGTTTCCCACGAACCCACGGGCTCGTCGATTTATCCGGATGACCAAAGGGTATCCGTAGATTTGCCACCATTCACGATGGCCAAGAAGCCGAGTCCGAAGCCACCGACGCCCGCCAAGGGAGCGACCAAGACGTCGAGCCCAGCCTTCTGGGTGCTAGCCATTGTCTTTGGCGCGCTCGCACTGTACCTTCGGTACCTCAACGCGCAGGCCAGCAGTGCGCTGCACCTTCCACGCCCGACGACCGTCGGTGTCCCCGCCCGCCACCGCTGGAACGTCTCGTGTTCCAACCAAGTACGCTACCCGCAGCGCCTTTCTCTGTGGCTCATGGATGACTTTTTTTGCAGTACCAGCCTTTTGTGCGCGGCTGCCACAAGCGTACCAAGTGTGGCCGCGCCGTGCGCGACGCGTTCATCTCGGACGCCGACGTCACCGCTCTGCGGGGCATTGCCGACCATGGCATGGCCGGCCGCTCGATGCTCGGTGGGCCCACGATCATGGACATCAACACGGGTGCGAGCGAACACGCAAACGATCGTCGCGAGCTGGGGCGTAGGCTTTGTCAAGGATGCCGACGGCTTGACCAACTTGTACCGGGCCGATCCGCCCACGCGCTTTAGCCGCTCCCAGTACGACCTCTACAAACGGTACGGAACCAAATGCATCGCAATATGTATCTTAGCTCTTCTTTTAGCACGATCGAGTCCATTCGGCAAGCGCTCATGGAGGAGTTTGAACTCTCGACGTTGTATTTTACGGCGCCGACGTTCATTACGCGCATCATCGGCAACGCCTCGTGGACCGCCGCCGAGATTCACGATGAGTATTGGTATGCCCAATGTCTTTGCTTCCGATGCAATCGAGTAAGGTCGAGGTAGGCACCCGCACGTTGATAAGAACAATACGTGGCACTACGACTACTCGGGGCTGGTCTATCTCTCCGACTACGGCATTGATTTCACCGGCGGCCTCTTTGCCTTCATCGACGACACGAAGAACCACACGTTTGAGCCGGCGCGAGGTAGACAAGCGTGTATTACCTCGTGGCGCGGGTCCATATGATCGATGTAGGTCGCCTCATGATGTTTCATTCGGGCATGGAAAACCTGCACCAAGTGCGACCTGTCGAGACGGGCGCGCGCTATGTCATGAGCATGTGGTTCTCGTGCGACGAGCGCAAGCAGTTCAAGAACTTTCTCGACGGCAAGATGCACGAGCGCTTTACCCGCGGCGACGACGAAGAAGCCTAAACGACCGACGCGCTCCACTCTTGACGCATAATCGACTCGAGGCACAGCAGTAAGATGCTGTGTGATCGTTCTTCAGAGGACATGACATTGAGTACCGGACTCTACTACGGGACTCGCGCGCAGCAGATTTCTGTCTCCGTCGTTGCGTGGCGGGCTTGGAGACGCTATGCAAGTGGCTTGCAGAGGACACATTTGCACAACTTGGCACCACACTCTACCAGCGGACGTGACACGGGGGCTTGGGTAGCGCTCAATTTGCAGTCATTTGACAAAGAAGAAAATGAACGGCGACCGGGAGAAAAATGAGCAAACGCGAAGTGAATTGACGGTTGAATCGGGTGCAGTAGTACAAATTCGTCGTTAAATCCCAACGATTTCCCGGGGAAATGGGTAATTACGAGCAATTTCGCTTATGAGTTCACGTGCGATGTGTTCACGCAGATACAGACGCGCAGTCGGCACCTTTATCACAGACCACAACTGGAGGCTCGGGTCAGACAGCATTCTCGACGATGCACAGCTCCAGTCCGCGACAACGGGCATATCAGCGTCGTTGAACTTGGGGTATGTGTACAGTACACTGCCGTTGCTCTCCCAGGTGTCTAGAGACGTCACAAAGAGCATTTATCTCCACAAACTTGCTTTTGTTCTTGGGTGTAGACTGGTTGCTATGTGGGAGACGTTGGCACATGAAAGATCCTTTGCTTGAAGGCTTCACTTTGCCTTACTAGGAAGAGGCAATCCTCCCTTGCAGCAATTGCCCTACATGGCTACTCTGAGTGGCTCGTCGTCTGTTTTCTCAGTCAAGAAAGATTCGCCGGCCGCGTTGAGGTTCAAGTTCAACGCATTGGCATTTCCCGGCTCACCCTTCGTCAAGACAAGAGGCAGTCGGCACCCAGGCGTGAGCAAATGCTTTGGATACAATACTGTACTCGTGCACCTGCTCGTGCACTTGAATCAAAAACTACAAGCTGGACATATTTCAATCTTGGATTAGAATCATGTCTTCTTCTCGCCGAATGGACCCATGGAAACGAGTTTGGACTCTGCTTGTCGCTCCGTCTAATCCATCGCTTTGCAGCGCGTGCACGAGATTCATTAGCACGTCGAGCCCAGCACTCTTGTTCTTCAACGAGTGCCGAGGCCACTTCTCCGTGGGTGGGTAGCCACCTACCCGGAAGAAGATGGCTTGATCCTTGAAGCCCACGGACGCTTCCCAGCACAGTGGGACGACCACCGAATCGGTCACGAGGCTCATTTTCAAATTGACGCCATGCTCACCGTATACGGCAACTGCGTGCAAACGCGCACTGTGTTTTCGGGGGACCACGCCTTCACGCGCTATGACTTTGAGCTCGTTTTTCCCGTAACGCAGCGCCGATGGACGGTCCGGAAGCGCTACTCGGACTGCCTCCGATTTCGACGGCAGCTGCAAAAGTGGGCAGCCCACGCCCGCGGGCGCATCGTGCTCCGCGTGCGCGCGCTGCTGGCAACGCCGTTTCCGCGCAAGCGCTTTGACAACTTGATCCACGCCGTGCTCTCGGAACGGTCCATCGGTCTCAAGCAGTTTGTGTTTGGACTCATGCACATTTACACGGACGCGTGCTGCCACCTCCACGACGACGACCCGGATCTGAGCGACTTGCACCACATGCTGCACGAGTTCTTGCAAATGCCGCGCGCGCTCTTGGGCGCGTGGAAGACGATGACCAAGCACGAGCTTCGGTTCCCGGACGACCAGTGCGCGATCTGTCTCGGCGGGTATTCGTTTGACGACGAAATGGTTGCGCTCTTGCCGTGCACGCATGCGTTCCACAAAGACTGCGTCTTTACGTGGCTGTACGAGTGCAGCAGCTGCCCGCTCTGTCGAGTAAAGATGGACTCGGTCCGCGTGCTTACGACGAATTAACAGGATATATAGAGTTAGTTGTTTAGGATAAGTGATACTACCTCGACGCTCATTGCAGGCGACGCATGTCGTCAACGACGTTGTAAAAATGCGTACTTTCAACTCGAAAAGTAAAAGCGAGAATTTGGATCCGAATCCGAACGACCGTTGGTATAGTCGGATGCGTGCAACTACGGTTTGGTCCTCCTACCGACCATATTGGCCGCGTGCTCGTGACACGTGTAGCACAATGCAGCAGGAAGTGCGACCAAGCGGGCGATTATGTGTGTCCTTGGACTGGTCGACCAAACCAGCATCCAAATCAGCAATCGAAACAGAACGTGTCTCTACGCCTTGAGACGTCTGATCACTTCCAATGCTGCACGAGCACCCGACGGGAATTATACCGGTAGTCCGCTCTCTAGCATGAAAGCACGTATTAATACGGTCAAAGGATGTAGTACACCCTTGGTAGCCACGTGATACAAAATGGACAGACTCATGGCGCTGTCCGATGGATTGTACTTTGTGCCCGACCACGGTGTCTAGGAAACCGCAGCCTATAAATTCAGTTTGCGCGCTGAGTACGCACGAGTGCGACAAGGAGTTTGTTTATTTGCCCTCCTTGGAGCACCCAGTGGATGCATGTGAACTCTGGATGCCATCGTTTGTAGTTGGCTGGCATGGCCAACCTCCATTGTGGGTACTACATGGTACGTTGCTGGCCTCGACAGCGATAGCCCTCTCGCTCAGAGCCAGAAAATAGACGCCAACTCAGTACCAATCAGACGACGCATCGCAGGTAAGCACAACGCGCCATCCCGTCTCTGTACGTGTGACTTACTTGCGCGTCTGTGTCCGCAACGTTGGAAAGCTCGCCGCCAGCGTTGGAATGAGCATCCGTGTCACATTGCAGCCAATCAGCGCCCGACCTTTCGTGTACGCCAATCAAATCACAGTGCGCGACCAATCAAATCGCTCGGCGCGCGACAAATTGCTCCCTGGGCGGGTGCCATTTCTAGATTTCTGTCATGCACCAAGGAGCGGTGTGCGTGGGCGTGCTTCTTGGCACCACCGCGCTGGCCATCGACCAGAACGATACGTCGTTGCTGACCAAGTCGGGGATCGGCATCTGGGTCGACCCGGCGACGCCAGATTCTGCGCGCACGATCCAGTCGTCGCGGGGCGGGACATGGACACTCGTCATGAGCGACGAGTTTGAGCAGGAAGGACGCAACTTGACGGCCGGCGAAGACCCGCTCTGGACGGCTCTCGACATCCCCGATGGTGTCAACCGCGCGTGGGAGATCTACACGCCGCACAACGTGTACACCAAGAACGGGCGGCTCGTCATCCGCGTCGACGAAGGCCCCACCGAGATTTCGTACTGGAACAGTTGGAGCGCCAAGCCCTCGTACGAGACCAAGACTATGGTACGAGCATATGTGTGTTTCACTTTGGTTAAGCCTCCCCTTAGTACTACACCGGCGGCATGGTGCAGTCCTGGAACAAGTTTTGCATCCAAGGCGGGTACATTGAGATCAGCACCAAGCTCCCAGGTGCCCTCAACGCCGAGTCATACAACCCACACATCGCTGGCTGGTACGACCCGACGCTCAAGAAGAAGGTCAAGTTGGCTGCCAATGACCGCATTCCCGACATTCAGTTTTACCCAACGTGGCCAGGTCTTTGGCTCATGGGCAATTTGGGCCGCGCGCTCTTTGCTGCCTCGACCAACCGCATGTGGCCATGGACGTACAACGAATGCGACGAGCGCTACGACAGCCATCAGCGCATCTCGGCATGCGATCCGAACCCTGGATTTGGGCTCAACCCACACCAGGGCCGGGGCGCCCCAGAGATCGACATCCTCGAGGGCGGCGGCACGGCGATCTCGACATCGATCCAGATCGCGCCCGGGATGCCGGACGAATACCGACGGATCTCGCCCAACGCGTTGATCGAGCACGGCAACATCAACTGCTACTACAACAAGGACTGCCAGACGCCCGGCGCCAACATGCCAGACGCGCCGACGTCGGCGTTTGCGGCCCGCGGGTACAAATCGTGGTACCAAGGTCTTCGGTACGCCGCCAACAACCGCTGCCTCCCGCGCCAAGCCGAAGTTCAGCTCTACGAGAGCGTTGCTGCTGCAAAAGGCCGTATCGTCTCCAACAAGTTTGACATCAAGACCATCTCGTCCGGTCGCGACGTCAACGCCGATTTGGGCCTGATCGATGGCGTCGGGCCGCTGCATTGGGGCATCAACTACAAGGGCACGTGCTTCCCGGTTGCGAACGGGTACATTGGCGGGTATCTCTGCGACCCCGACAGCACGAGTGCCAAGTGTGGCAATCCGCGCCTCGGCAGTGTCAAGACCAAGCAGATGGACCCGTTCGAGTACCAAATGGACGCCATCTCGGCCAACTGGGACATTACGTTTGAGCACTACATTCAGTTTTGGAAGTACCAGCTCGAGTGGTATTACCATGTGCTTAGTCCAACCACGTGTGATCTTATCGATGCGGGCTAGGGTCACCGGCGACGACGGTTACATCCGCTGGATGCTCGACGGCGCCGTCATCTTTGAGATTCCGTCCGCATCGCTGACCTCTCCGCCCCAAGGCGGGCGTGAAACCAACCCAAAGAAGCTCATGATCGAAGAGCCTAGCTACATCATCTTCAACGTCGCTGTCGCCGCCGCCTGGGGTGCGTCCGGTGTAAACCCGATGACAGAGCTCTAACCATTTGCTGTCGATTAGGCGCACGGCCGCCCAACGCTGACAATGGGTACTGCCGAGGCAACCCCACCAACATCACGCTCAACATCTGCAACTCGTTCCCGATGTTTATGGAAATTGACTACATCCGCGTGTGGCAAGACACGGCGACGATGAGCGTCGGCTGCGACCCGGCGTCGCACCCCACCAAAGAGTTCATCAAGGCGCACATTCTCAACTACACGGACGCGAAGAACCCGGATACGCCCGTTGTGGGCCGCGCGCCCTGCCACTCCCACGACGACTGCACGATCGCCGGCGACGTCGTCACGGGCCGATGCGTGGTCCAGCGCTGCGAGTGTTTGCCCAATTGGCTCGGCCCCCGCTGTACGCACTACGCCCCCAAATGGCTCGTCGACGGCGACATGAGCCACTTTGGCCCCGGTCGGAACGTCGTCATTGGCGTCGTGGCGGCAACCTTCGTCCTTCTCCTCTGCTCATGCTTTCTGCGCTGCCGCTTGCGACAGAAGCGACTTGCGCAGGAAGCCGACGCAAGACGCAACAAGCGCAAGGTCCCACCAGTCATCAAGAGCAACGAACGCATGGTATTCATCGACAACTCGAGAGAGTGCAGCTTCGACGACGAAGTACCGGTGCTGCGAGACGACCGCCATCGGTATTACTTGCCCAATTAACTTAATCTAGTCGATGCTAGTAGTTTGAAAAAGAGTATACTGTGTTTCGCAGTTGTTTGTCCTCGGGTGTTGCGTCCATCACACTTGGGCCCGAAACACGAATCCCGCCGTTCCGGAGTTTTTGTATGCCATCATGCGGCACCTAGTATCCGGATGACGTGGCGCGTTGTGGGTTAGGTGTCGTCGTGGCTGGCGCTTTGGGACAACAGCAGCACCTCATTTTCCATTTGTCAAGCAGCGGCATCGTGCGATGCCAGCCAAGTAGATTGTGTTCGTCTCGGTCCTGGCATGTAATTGCGCTTCACCGACCAACGACTAAGATCACACCACTTCGTGGCGACTGCGTGCTTGCAGACATCCGTGACGCATCGTCACCTGCTTCCGTGCTTCCAACAGACGTCGACGACGCTGTCGCCCATGTCGCGGCCAACACCTCGTTTTGGAAGCCGATGCACTTGGCGCAGTGGGCCGACACTGCAACGTCTGCGATGTGCGACGCCGCTCTCACGCGCCGCGCCAAGCGCTGTGTGTTTGTCAGCTTGACCACAGCGTATGAATATCGCAACGGCATCATCGACGAGTCGACAACCGAAACCAGTGCTACGGCGCCGATTCACTACTTTCGGACCAAGGCGGGCAGCCGAGAAGACAGTGCGAGCGGCCTAGCTGCTGTGATTGTCAGCCCGACACACCTTCTCGGACCACACGGCGCGCTCGTTGATGCTGATTTCACGCAACAATATTAGGGGGACTCAATAATATGACGGAGATTCCGCCGGGTGGCGGGTCGTTTACGTCGCCGAGGCGATCGTGGCAGTGGCCGCATCGGGCACAACTACATCTTGCACGGCCCGGCGGCGTCGCTTCAGAAGCTTGTGTTTACTGCGGGTTCGCTTTTGGGCAAATCGAAGCCACTGCTGCGCTTCAAGGGGCTACTGAACGAGTTTGTGGCGCTCTTCACGCGGCGTGAGCCCGACATCGCGTACGAAGGTGCCCTCGCGACGCGCTGTCATCCGACGGTGCAGTCGGGTACGAGCTGCTTCCCGTCGCTGAGAGTATTGCCAAAACGATCGACTGGCTGCGGTCCGAGAAGCACTTTCCGTAAAGGGCCGCTTTCGCGCTCATGCGACGTACAAGATCCCTTGAATGTACCATCACGATACACGTAGATTACCATTGCCCCATTCATTGCCCCATTGTGATCAATAATCCAACGCGAATAAAGTGCAAATTAGATCGCGTTGAAAAATGGAATGCATAGACTACAACAAAAGGCTTGTTATTGCGGCGACACGGTCGTCTTGACGCAGCGGAAGGTCGCAAAGACATCCGAAGCGGTGCGCGGGGCCCAGTGGCGGAATGTGCGCCGGCTGGCAATGCGTGGCAGCGTAGCCCAGCTCGCGCCAACGAGCACATTGTGGTCGCCATCACTAGGACATAATGCCATGAGTGCCACATTCGAGTCCTATGAAGACGTACAAGAAGGCGGCGGTGTGGACAGGGCAGAGCTCGCTCGGGGCAAACCCGTCGTGGGGCCCAAGGACGTCGCACGTCCACTCCCACGCATTTCCCGCATGCCACCCGGCAGGATTTTCTTCCACATGCGTCGGGACCCAGTGGCGCAGACCGACGTTGTGCCCGGTGCCGGGAAGACGCATCGCAAGCATCTCGGCTTCGTGCGGCAGGCGCAGGCCGACGGCCGTCGCATACGCATTCGCTTGGTCGAACGAGACATACACAGGCCAGGCGGCCGCGAGCTCGAGCGCGACGGGCCCGAACACGGTCTTGACATGCGCTCCGTCGGCAGTCCAGGACGCCGGCTGCAATACACCTGCGTCGTCGTTCGTGGCAGCAAGGAACGCGCGGTACTCGGCCACGGTCACCGGACGCGACTGCATTTCGTACAGTGCACTGTCGTCGATCTCAACAGTACGCGACGGACGCTCGTTGTCCCAGCCGTACGGAATTGACGGGTGGTCGTCGACGCCGTCGACGTCGTCGTGGCCAAGCACGACGTCGCCCGACCGAATCGGTACGTACGAAGCTGGTGCGACCGGCGCCGGCGCCGCAAAGCGCGGGTGGACGAGGTGTGGCGGCGGCTGCACGCCATCGCACTGCACGAGCAGCGCCAGAAACGCCTAGAGATCAATCGTATATGGTCAGCCAGGTCGACGAGATAGTTTTGTTGTACTTCGAGCAAGAGGGCACTTTGTTCAAAGCAGAGCCAGAGCACACGGCGCATTTCCGACGGAAGGCCGTTGCCGTAGAGCAATCGGATGCGCGTGCGGACGTCTTCCTGGTAGCTCGCGATGGCATCGAGGTCGGGCCACTCGGTTGCGCTGGCATCGGCTCCAAAGACGTCTTGCATGCTGGCAGGCGCCGTCACGGGCTCGTCCATCGCTGCCGCGACGTGGGCATCGATGAACGCCGGCACGTGACCAATGTAGTACACAAACGGCGGTCGCCCGGCCACGGGCGCCTCGAGATAATGGTCGCTAGGCAGCATCTGCAACATGACGACGTCCAGCGCCGCCCACAGCGACTCCCATTCGATGAGCGTCGGCGCTTGGTTCGAACGGGGCGCGGCCGTCGCCTTGGCATCCCAGCTGCGCCAGAGGTTCTCGAGGTCTTCGAGCGACGGTGCGTGCTTGAGCCCCGACGCTTTGACCGTCGGCTCGAGCGTCAGCAGCGGTTTCTGGACCAAATACGTGGCGTACTGAGCGTTCGTCCACGTGGCCGCCGGATAAAACGGGCTGAGAAGCTCGTCAATCGCCGATGGCGCCAGCACCGTGTCAATGAGGTACCAGCCGTCCTTCGTGTCGGCATCCACGGACGCAGCCTTGAGGAAGAGCGACTCGTTCGTCGCGTCTTTCAACGAGGCTTTGTGGCACTCGAGCGCGCCGGCCGGCTGAAGCAACTCGGTGAGCACTGGAAGAACCGCATCCGGCTCGACGAGAGATGTCGGAAACGTGCACAAAAGCACGTCGTCTTGGCGCAAGTAGGACGAAGCGAACGGGTCCAAGACCGTGTGGGCCTCTTCAAGCGTCAAGTGCGCGAGCGAGAGGAGGTAGGTGCGTCGCGCCGTGAGTGGGAGCAGCTCGAGCGAGTCGACGAGGGCGCCGGCGACACCGGTGCACTCGATCTCGGGGCACATCGACGAGACAGCTTCAATGAACGTGTCCAAGGCGTCGTCCGTGTCGGCCACCGCGCAGTACGTCACGTGGTAACCGAGCGCTTGCGCCGCCTGTAGCAGCGCTGTGGTCGCTGGCACCGACCTAGTTGGCATAAGCTTTGTCGTGAGCACGAAGCATCAAGCAGGAGATGAAGGTACCGGACACCAACTTCAACAATGCACGCGCCGTCGACTACACTCGCCGCGACGACGTCGGCGACGTACCCGTCGTAGGCGTTGTGGCCCGACGGAAGGTAGCTGTTGGCGGCCAACGACGACGTCGGGAGCTTGTACACTTGGGCGCGCGGAATCGCTCCGTGGGTGCACTTGGCGTCGAGCGGCGCGAGGTGGTGGAGATCGACGATTTCTTCTTTGGCGCGCGCGGACGACGACCGGCGGAGGCGAGGCGCAGTGGTGGGCACACCCATGGTCTTGTGCGAATTGATGCGACGATTGCAAAATGATAAGCATGCTTAAGCATGCTTGATGTGTTGGAAGATTCCTCGCCAACTTCAAGCGGGCAAGGTGCAATTGTTGCGTGTTTCTCGCGCCTGCAAGGATGGGTCGTTGCATGGAGCCAGCACCGTCGATGACGAGAACCAGGTTGCGCTTGTATTTTGTATGCTCGACAGTGTCTTTGCCGCGACAGGTGTGTGAAAGCACGCGTCGTCGGTGTCGTGGGTGCGCGAGGATCGACGCACGCAGCTGCGACTCGAGTACCTTGACAAACGAACCCAAGAGTCGACGACGCCCGGACAGAGCCTAATTCTCTAACTCTGTCGCTTCCATTTTATAGTCCGCTTAGTTTGCTTGCTGATTCAGACTGCATCAAGCGTAGTAAGCTGGAGGTAGTCGTAGATCTTGGTGGCGACGCGATCGCCTTTTCGATGGATTTCCGATAACGTGATTTGATAAATTCAAAGCCAATCATAGCAGTGTATCGAATATAAAGCCGTATGATTTGCCTGATTTTGGCCAATCGATACGCACCATTGGGCTGGTCGGTCGTATCCTTGCCGCCAGTCCAGAGGAGGAGCTGGCGGAGCTCTAGACTGCAAGAAAGCCGTGTGTTTATGGTTCTGCTCGAATCTTCCTACGGCGTTGCATGCATCTGTGTCTAACCTTAAATCTCCCATCTCGCGCCCCTAGAGCATACACTATTACCAACCTCTTCACCACGATGATTTGCGCGAGTACCCAACTCTCCGACAACGTTGCTGCTGTACGAACCATGTTATCCATACAATCACGAGTCTCTAATGAAAAAGACATAGCAACGACCTTCGCTTTTACGTCGTGTCGGCAAGCTGTTCGAGGCGGGCCTTCAAATCGAATGGGACTTTCCAGCTTGGGATCTTGCAGCCCAAGGCGCGCAGCCGCTCGATTAAGTGGATAAACTTTTTGGTCGGACCGGCCTCGCCCCCGAGGCCTTTGCCGCGGCGCAGACACTCTTTCGAGACGATGAAGTGGAACGTTTGGTGGGGCCAGGCGACGCCAATGTACTGGTCGTCCCACGCGAGCGTCGCGACTTCGTTCGAGTCGGTGAACCGGAGCTTCTCGGCGCCGACTGGCTGCTGTGCATGGGTGCCCGGCGTCAAAAGCGTGTGCTGCATGATGTGGCACACGAGCTGCGTCGTGGTCGCAAACCCGGCAAAGCCGCCGTGCGGCCGACCTGGCGCACTGTGCGGCGCGTGAAAGGCATAGTCGGCGTCGGGATACGTCGTCGCAATGAGGTGCCACGTCGCATCCGGGTACTCGTACGAGAGCGGGAGGTGCGACTGGTACAGCGGCACGCCCCATGTGCCAAAGAGGCGGTCCTTCTCGATGCTGGCTTGGCAGTCGAAAATAAACAGATTCCATTCGCTGTACGTGGCCGCGTGCGTGCACGGCACGGCTTCGCGAATGCGCAGCACGGTCTCTGCCATTTCCCGCTGGTTCGCCTCGTGGCGCGGGGCGTTAATGAGCTCCTCGAGGCGATCACAAAGGCGCCGCGTCTGCGGATAATCCTCGCGTCCGATTTTATGCAGGGCTCCGATGCGCCAGTGCTCGTTCCAATCAAAGTTGCGGTTGATGAACGAGAAGGCTTCCTGGAGCCCCGGCACGCGCATCGCGACATCGTTCGCGAACGCAATGAGGTAGCTCAAGTCGGTCGACGACATGTCCCAGAGAAACTTGATCGGGCCGAACATCCGCTCCTGAAAGCACCACGCGCGCTCGAGGTAGTCGCGCGGAGGCATCTCGAGGCGAAGGTACGGGCCAAGCACGACAGACGTTGCGTTGGCGTAGATGTTGCCCATGATGTTGACCTGCGCGACCTTGTCGTCGCTGCTGCTCTGGTCAATGCACACGTAGTCGAGCCAGAGGCCTTGGCCGAGCCGCGAGAGAAGCGCTTCGAGGTTGCCGACTTCGGCGTCGAGGAGCTCGCACACGTACGGTGGTTCGTTGTCGCAGTGCACAGTGAACGTCTGCGTCTCGTTGCGGTCCTGCCACCGGTGCGAAATGGCGTGGTGCGCCGGCGAAATGTCGGCGCGCGTGCAGTGGATCGTCGCGTCGTGACGCTGGATCGAGAGAATCACCCGCGCCTGGGCGGCAGGTGCATTGTCCGTCATTGTCGAAGGAATGTGCGTCGCGTACGATGACGTGGGCGGCGCAACTGGCGCCATCGTCGCACCGTCCAGAACACTGCCCGCGCTGCCCATCACTTGTCGGTTGAAATGCGTGAGGACGAAATCCAGAAAGATCGCGTTTCAGATGCCGGATACGGTGAAGCGGACGAATCATAAGACGATAATGACCAACAATCAAATGTCAGACACATGGCATGAGCAGCCCACATCCACTAGCGACCCACACAAACTTCTGTCGAAGCGTCGGCACGACCACCCGTCAATGTGAGATTCCAGGTTGTTGGCACCTGTAGCCTAGTACAAGGAATGCTCGAGGCATCATGCAATGGCATGAGCTCGCACTCGGCCAAGACGTCGCCAGCTCGAAGTACAAGTACGCTTTTAGGCCATCCGACACGTCACGGCTCTACCACGCTCATTCGTTGGCCCATAGCCCCACGAATGCCACAAGCATCGAAGCGACTACGTTCTTACTAACAGGGGTACAGAAATTGCTGGTATGTACCCCTGGTTACTACCGGTAGTAGTCAAATTGTCCATTTTCAATTGCTGGTGCGTTGCCTGCAGTTGCCACGCGGGCCGAAACAGTCGCGCGTATAATATAAAACGCATTTTAATGGCCTGTCGCGACGCCATACCATAGCATTCGGAGGTTGTTCGCACTTTGTGTTTGAATAAAAAGACGCGCAATTCAATGGCGCGTGTGATCGCCAAGTGGCGGGAACATCCCGATGAGCCAATCGGATCCCGCGAAACACGAGGTTCTTCTAACGAGGTGAGCAGTTGGTGGCCTGGACTTGTAATTAGAACGCCGGGACATCCGCGCGGGCTGCGGCAGATCGCGCGAGGGGTCATGAGCAGCAGCAGTAGCAGAAGTCGGGACGAGCACCATGGAGCGAGCGCCGACGAGATGGACGACAGCCACGAGGAGAGCCTCGACGAAGGTGCATCGGACGAGGACTTCGCCCCAAGCAGTGACGACGAGGCCGGCAACACGTCGGACGCGGAGATGGACGACGTCGATCGCCATGCGACGACCCACGCCACGAGCACGTCAACGACGTCGAGTCCATCCTGCAGCAGCGACGAACGCAACGAAATCAAGGAGCTGCATGCGACCGCCACGCTGCGTCGACAACTCTTTGAGCGCTCGGGCGAGCTCGTCGACGGCCCGATCTCGGTGCAAGCACTCGGCGAACTCAAGCTCGAGACGACGGGGTCCTGGACGACGTCCGAGTTGTTTCCGATCGGGTTCGAGACGCGGGCGCTCGTGGATGGCATCGCGTGGCGCTGCAGCATTCAACTTGCAAAGGACGACGCGCAGAAAGGGCCTGTCTTCCAGGTGCAGCTCGCGAAGGCGCCCGCCATTGCGTTTCGATCGTATACGACCACCAAGGCGTGGGCAAAGGCAATGGCGTTCCTCGACGATGCATCCGAAGACGAGAAGGACCATTGGCGAGAGGCGACGGGTGCGACGTCCGAGAAGGTCCACGACGGGTTTGGTCTGCATCGAGAATGCATTGCGCGCACGCTAGAAGGTCTTCCGCATGTGCTCGAGTGCGATGGGTACCTCTTTTGGGACATGCGGGACGGCCGCACGTTGAGCGCGACAGATCTCGCGACGCAGAAGGCGACGTTGACCAAGCAGCTCGAAGTGCAGGACGAAGCTCGGCAGCGGGAGAAGCGCGCGATCCGCGCCAAGGCGCGACAGATGTACGAAGAAGAGAAAGCGCTCCAAGCACAGCACGAGCAAGCGTCCGCAACCAAGAAGCGGCAGCAGCAGGTGCTCAAGACGCAGCAGAAGCAGCAAGCCTCGACGCAAAAGAAGATCGACGCGCTCCGACAACGGCGTCAGCTGCTCAAAGAGCAAGAAGTGCTGCGAACGACCGGCATCGACTGGCGGGCGCCCATGGACGCGAGCAAGACCAACGTCCTTTTGCAGTTTGTCGACGACGAGATCGCGAAGCGCAAGGAGCTCGCCGCGGCGCACACGCGGCATCTTGCGATCGTCGCGGCGTACGATCTGGCCAAAGCGCACACTGAAGCGACTCGGATCGAGCCGCCTGCGCCGATGCCATTGGCGGACCCCGTGTCGCCGTCGAGTGCGACGACGCCTCTGGACTTTTTGACGCCGTTCACACCCGAGGTACAGCGCCAATTGTTGTGGCTGTGGGACTTTTTATACCAGTACGCTGACGTCCTCCGGCTCCGGGCGGTGCCCCCTCTGGCCTACTTGTGCCACGTGGTCGCGCTTCACGACGGGTCGCTTCCAAACGGTGACTCGATCATGGAAGAGATGAGCCACGGGAGGTGCCTCGCGACTCTGCACGCCTTTTGCTCGACGTGCTGCTCCAAGAGTACACGCCGTACTTGCAGCTCTCGGTCACCGACTACAAGAAGACGCGGCCTCTGAACGTCATGACGTGGGTCGAGGTCGCGCGCCACGTGTGTATGGTAGCGTTTGACGTGGACCGCGGCGACGTCGACGGCAACTTTATCAAAATGCTCAAGGGCAGCAAATCGTCCAATGAGAGCAGCGTCCTGCCCATGCGCGAGACGCTCGTGAGCCGTGGCCGAGAGCTACTCACCGCCAACCCGGCCGCTTTACCGGGACTGCTACCCACGATGACCGAGGCCGTGCCGCCGCCGCCTTTGGTTGAGCCCTGCTATGGCCTTGTCGTTCCTGCGCCGTGGGATGCGTGGGGCCTCGTGTGGACACAAGTGGATGGTACCATACGCGTCGAGCTCGTGCCCGAGACGGCCGACGCTGCACTACGAGACAAAGTCGGTGTCAACGATCAGCTCCTCTGTATCAACGGCATCGAGGTACTACATCTCGGCACCAGAACCATATGGCACTCATGCTCTATTGTAGATCCCACTAATGACGAGCTTGCAAGAACTGGACGAGATGATCGAAGACATGGCAGCGCCGTTTGGGTGCATTTTTGCAAAGGCCGAACTCGTGGCGTCGGTGCCAGCCAAGCCGAAAGCGTCCAGCACGTCGAGCAAACTCAAACGACTCGGAACCGTGCTCAAGATCCTGCAAGGTACATCAAATTTCATAGAATGTGAAATGAAATTGTCGTACAATGTAGCCAAGGACGCTGCGCAGCCGTTTAGCCACCCAGTCGACGCAGATTTGTATCCCGACTATTACACAATCATCGCCGAGCCCATGGACCTCGGAACGATCGAAGACAAGATCCGCGACAACGAGTACGACGGCGACGACGACGTCGATGGTGTCGTCGATGACGTGCAGCTCATTTGGAAAAACTGCTACGAGTACAACGGCGAGCAGGCCGACATCTCGAAGCTCGCGCGGAAGCTCTCAGCGGCCTTTGACCGGCTGTGCCGCGACTTCGTGCACACGGAGGCGCCCAACTTTTCTGCCAAGGTGGAAGACACGTGTCGCCAGTGCCACGGCGTCTTTTTAAAAGCACAGCTCCTCCTCTGCGACCGGTGCGATGCGCCGTATCATACCGTGTGCACGTCGCCGCCGCTCGCGTCGATCCCGAAGGGCGAGTGGTACTGCCCCGACTGTGCGCCGCTGCAACCTCCGCCGCCTGAAAAGTCGGAGGACGACGTGAGCGAAAGCGACTTGGCGCAGTTCGAGTCGGGCCTCGCGCACGTCGTGCGACTCTTGTCCAAGGACTCGTACGCGGAGCTGGTGCGCTCCATACTTCTTGTGCGTATGGGTGTGGTAACCATCTCTACATAGACGCTTGAAGACCGTCTCCTTGTGCTCACGACACTCTGCGAGCTCGTGCAATCGACGTCGGCCGTGCAGAGGTACCTATCACGTGGTCAACGCATCGTGCGAGCTCATCACGTCTTTACTAGCATCATGCATATCGTCGAAGACCACGCCGAGGACCAGCGCCGGGCGCTCGCGGCGTCGTATGCCGACTGTGTTCGCGACTGGTATCGATTCGGCCACGTTCGTCTCCCCACTGTCCGGGCCACCGAGACACTCACCATCAACGGCGAGTCACGCGAACTCTCGGATGACCTCCTCGCGTATCTCAAAGCGAGGTGCCACGCGCAGCTCGAGCACACTACGCTGCCCGCGCCGTTCAACTTTGACGAAACGTCGGTGAAAACCGAGCCTGAGAGCGACGACTCGGACAGCGAGGATGAAGAAGACGAAGACGAAGAGTGGGCCGTGGCCATTCTGGAAGCGCATGGTGACGCCAAGCTCGCCGCGCATGGTTTGCCAGCGGAGTCGATCGATGACATTGACACACGGGTGTGTGTCGCTTGCCAACAGCCCGCTGGGAGTGTCCTCGGATCGCTCGAGACGGCGTGGCAGGCGCCCGAGACCCTCCGCGTCTCGAAGACTCTCGCGACGTTTTCACCGCCGACGCTGGACGTTGAGTGGAACATTTGCATTTGGGCCGATGACGCGCTACCGTTTGAAGGCGTTGTGCTTGACAGCGACGGGCAGCTCGTTGTGTCGAGTGCTAATGACGCGTCTGGCCTCACGGACGGCGACGTGCTCCTCGGTTTTGACGCCATTCAAGTGCCGCTAAACGCCGACGCCCCGCGCATTCTCGAGCAGCTTCGCGCAACGTCACGTCCGCTTGTCGTCTACTCGTGTGCCAAGACCGCCGTCGTCCCTCGGTCCGAGTACGCGCTCGTGCAACTGCCAAGTGTCTCGTTGGATGCGCCGTCGCTTGTCGAGACGAGTGATAGCGTGCATCTTCCGGGGACGCTAACGGGGTTCTGTGCTCTCAGCGGCGTCTTCTTCCCGTGGGATGTCGTGTACGCGATCAACGGGTCGCGCGTAACGTCGGCGGCGACGGCCAGTGAGCTCTGGCGACCACAGAGCACGGTGCTTCTTCTACGCAACGCGTTTCCGCGCCGCCATGGGCCGGTGCTTCCGACATTGCCGTCCAAGGTGTCACCGGACGCGGTTGCGTCACAGATCCTACAGTGCCATGCATATGAGGTTCAGTTTGCACCCGGGCCGCTCGGTCTCGCACTCGAACTTGAGCACCACAAGGTGTACGTGCGGTCGCTCACGGCCATGAGCCAAGCGACGGCGAGCAAGTGCATCGAGCCAGGCGACCTCATCGTATCGCTCCAAGGCAAGTCGCTCGGGCAACTCAAAGAGCTCACGGACTTTACGGATCTAATTCGACGCCTTCCGCGCCCGATTACGCTCGGTTTCGTGCGCCAGGCGCTGCACCGGCACCGTCGTCGTCCGAGGGCCGCCCACCCCACACGACATATTTGCTGGCGGCCCACCTCGTCCGGTGTGAGATCATCGACTTTGACAACCGGCTCATTGTGCGCTCCACGGGCGGCGTGGCACTGCACGGCGTCGCACCCGGCGACACGCTCGTGCAGCTCAATCGCGTCGACATCCGTGGTATGCGCCTTGCATGGCTCCAGTCGCTGCTTCAGCAACTGCCACTCGAGAAGGAAATGGAAGTGACCGTGCTGCCTCGGATCCCTGCGGACGTTGACGTTCAGATTCACGCGTCGTGTGTCGATGTCCTCAACGACGCTCTCGAGGCCGCCGAAGACGTGCACGCCAAGCTGCTCGCGACCAAGTCGCTCGAGTCTTTTCTGCGGCACGTCGGGCCGCGCACGATGACGGTCGGGAACGAGTACTTTCATTTTGGTGGCGACCCCCGAGTGTTGTATCGGTTCCAAAACGGCGTTTGGTCCAAGATTCCGCAGGTACGTTTTGACCACACGTGTGTGTTTGCGTCATGGATTACGCGTAGGTGGCGGCGTACACGGCGGCCTTGGATGACAAGGCGCTTGCGGCACGACTGGACGCGCTCTGTGCACCGATTGCGTTGCCCAAGACAGGCCCGTTCTCGATGCGTCCGCTCATTTCGTCGGTCGGGGACCCGGTGCTGCAGCACGAAGCGTACGTGATGTTTTGCGGCCGGCAGTACTACCTCGGCACGTTTGGGTCGCTCGCGGATGCAGAAAAGGCGTACAGCGTCTGCTGTCTGCGCTACGAGTCACACCAGCAATTTCTCGCACCGTTCACCAACTCGACGTTTCCGCGATTGCAGCTGCCGACGCTCAAGGCCGAAGAAATGCTCCGGCGCCTCGCGGGCACGCGGCGCCACGAGTCGCTCTTGACGCTCGAGCTGCAAAATCTGCTGCGGTACAGCATTCGTGCACGGGCGCCGCCGGTCAAGCCGCCGCAGATCTCGGTACCGCGTCCGAGGCCGTCGCCCATGCACATACAGCAACAGCAACAGCAGCAGCAGCACCGCATGCAACAGCAGCACTACCAGCAAATGCTCCAGCAGCAGCAACAACAGCAGCAGCAGACGCAGCAGCAGCAACACGTGCACCAGCCGCAACTGCAGCATCAGATGCAAATGCAGCAACTCCATCTGCAGCAGCAGCAGCAACAACAGCTTCAGCAGCAGCAGCAACAGTACCAGCAGCAACAGTACCAGCTGCACCAACAACAGCAGCTGCAACAACAGCAGGTCCAGCAACACCAGCACACCAAGAAGCGCCCAACGCCGTCGTCGTCCCCGCCGTCGTCGACCCACGCGTCGCCGTCGCAGAAGAAGCAAAAGACGAAAGAGTCGCGTCTCCTGCAGCAAATTCAGGCGCTGGAGGAGCACAAGAGCCTCGTATCGCAAGCGTGGTCCAACTTGTACCATGGCAAGTCAGCTGAAACTAGTGCGGGTCTCATTTCGGGGCTGCAGAACACGCTCACGGCGCTCAACGTGCTCGCAACGCACCTCTCGCGACACCCAGGCGACGCGCCCAACCCGCTCTCGTTTGTCGCACTCCACCACGCAGTCGTCATGGTCATCGTGTCGATTTTGCTGTTGCAAGCGATGGCGAAGGCACCGTCGACGCCGTTCTCGCCAATGGAGCTTCAAGTGCTGCAGAGCGGGTGCCACATTGTGCTTTCGTCGCTCGACGCGACGATGCATCCGACACGACACGACGCTGCGATTGGAAAGTGCGTCGGGTTCTACAACGCGCTGAGCGGCTGGAGCAGCCATGCGCTCGTGCCGCCCGACGTGCAGAACATGCTGAGCACGATCCAGACGTTCTTCCTCTCGTCGCTCTATTTGCACGACGCCAACGGAGCCTTGCAGCCAAACACGACATGTCGCCCGCTCTTTGCAATGCTGAGCACGTCGCAGCCCAAGCAGCACTTTACGCCGCTGCCGATCATGCTCACACAGGAGCTTTGGAAGCTCCAGACGTGCCAGACTGCGTACGAGAAGCAGGTCAAGAAACTCATGAAGGGTGCGGTCGCCGCGTCGTCGCCGCCACCGGAACCGACCAAGCCACATGAGAACCCGGGCGCGATCCCCAAGTACCCGCCGACGGCGCAGCCCAACGGTGTACCGCCGGCGAATCCGAGCCCGGACGATGTGGTCGTGAGCTTCACCCACGGGCCGCTCGGCATCATCATCCAGCAGGAAGTCGACTCAATCATGGTGTCGTCGTTTTCGTCGGATCCGCAAGGCCAAGCGGTCAAGAGCGGCGTCGTCAACATCGGGGACATGATCGTCGCCGTCAACCACGAGCCGATCTCCGTCATCGGTATTGAAGGTTTCAAGCAGGCCGTGACGTCCGGCATCCGGCCGCTCTTGATCACGTTCCGACGCCAATCCAACGCGGCACCGCCGGCCAAAGCACCGGCCACGAACACGACGCCGGCGCCTGAGACATCGGACCCCAGCAAACGTACGTTGTCCTGTAGGCATGGATTGATGCTATGTATGATGCACCATCACGTCTAGTGCCACTGCCCATGGAGTCCGCCTTTGGCTCGCTTTTTGACGCGCAAGGCCAGGGGTATCTTAACGGTGCGCCGCCAATGGGGTACTTTGCGGCGCCCAACACGGAGTTTGCCGACTTTACACCTGCGCCGATGCTCAACGCGATGATGTACAACCAAGGTATGTACCCGACGCCCGACCCGACGGCGATGTGGGCAGCCACCGATCCGACGGCCATGTATGCAGCCACGAACGGCGCGACGACGGCGGCACCGAACAACATGTACTACAACATGTACGCCGCCCCGTTCCCGGGGTTTGAGATGCAGGCGCAAGGGGCCGAGTTCCACCCGTCCTCGGCGTTTTTTGACCCTCAGTTTTACAACCCACAAGCGTTCCGGTCGGGGCCGCCAGGCGTCGACTTTGTTGCTAACACGGTACATATTTCCCACGCCACCCGTGTGATGCTCAGCCAGTGAGATCGATAGGGATCGGCCAAGAAACCGCCCGTGAAGAAGACAGAGTCGACGCATCTCGCAAGCCTGAGCGGACGTCGATCGTCGCGCGTCTCCAAGAAACCCGACTCAGCTTTTGCTGCGAATGCCTCGCTGCCCTTGTCGACCGCGCAGTACGTCGCCGGTGCCGGCTACCAAGGCGAGTGGGCCACCGACAGTGTCCCCGGTCTCCAAAAAGTCGAGGGTGACGGGCACCTGGTCGCACTCTTGAAGGCGCAGCTGCTTGCGATCGAGGCTGCGCTCCCACGCGACGCCTTCCGCGACGGCAAGTGGACGACGCCGCTGCGCGTGGCGTGGGCTGAAATGATCGTGCGCGGCAATGGCGCCAAGTCACTCCTCGAAGCCGCGTTCGTGCTTGAGTGCCACGTTGACAGCGAGTTTCTCGACGCGCAGTGGAAGGCGCAGCCGCTTTTGACGCCCAAGGCGATGTTGTCGACCGCCACGCTGGCGTCGGCTGCAATGCGCATCCACGCACTCGACGACGCGCTCTCGTATGTCAAGCCGATGAAGAAGCCGGTGCCGAAGCGCAAGGCGGCACCGGTGCCCATGCTGCCGCCGCGGCCGTCGTCGGCGGCGGTATACGCTGGCATGCCGACCTGTCCAGAGCTGCTCGCGCTAAGTCCCGCCGTGGCCACCCAGGCTCGCAACCGCATGCAAGCCAGTCTTGCCCTCCCAGCGACCACCGACGTCTATCAAAAGGTACATGCGTCTTCGTCCTCCTCGATGTGTGGACTAAGCACGAAACGACTAGACGATGCAAGATCTGCGGGCCATGACGCAGCTACCGGACGCTGCACTGCAAAAGTGGTATGCACAGTGCCGTGAGGCCCAGCAGTCGTCTGTTAGTGCAAGCAGCAGTGCAGCGCCCGTGTCGGCGGCCACAGACGACCTCAAGCGCAAGTTGCCGTCTGCCGTGTCGTCGTCGACGTCAGGGTCGGTCACGAACGTGGCGATGAAAAAGGCCAAGCTACGCGGTCGGAAACCAAAGAACCTCGAGTACCGGTTTGTTATGGAGTCGGGTCACTACGGCATCCCACCGGCGGTCGCCAATGACCCAAAGCTACCGGAGCGGCTCCAGCTCCTCCTCGAGACGCTCAAGAAAACCCGGTCGCGGTCCCGTTCTTGCAGCCCGTTGACGCGGCTGTCGTGCCGACGTATGCCTCGGTGATTGCCTGCCCGATGGACCTGCACACGATCGAGACCAAGCTGCGACAAGGCGCGTACGCCGGCCAGTACGGCAACTTGTGCCTGGACATGGACCGCATTTGGACCAACTGCTTTACGTTCAACACACGCCAAGCTGAGCTCTCGTCGATGGCCCGTCGGCTCCGGTCCGTCTTTCATCGGCTGTTTGAGGCGTGGGTGCAGAAGACGCCGCCAGGAACGCCTGCGGCCGCGCTACCGAGCGAAGAGCAGTGCCGGAGCTGCAAGCGCGACGAGCGCAGCACGGAGCTTTTGCTCTGCGACTCGTGCGACGCGGCGTACCACACGTTTTGCATCGGCCTCGCCGAGATCCCGTCTGGCAACTGGTACTGCGGCAGCTGCGTCGAGAACCGCGAGCTGCACTGAAAAGGCTTATAGGAGTAGGAGTAATTGGCCAGACCACATAATCGTATATTAACCACCGTAGTAGCACAAAAGATGCTTCGCGTACAGCCTTGCCTTGCATGTCTGCGCAGCTGGTAGCATAAATTTACATGAATGTTGTAAGTTGATATTCATGAAATAAATATTAACTTTATATATTTGTTGGGTTAGCGTTCAAACGACAACGCTAAAGTCGAGTGACTCGAGCGTCGACAGCCACGTCATGTCGCTGCCGTCCAGCAGGTCCGCGCATACCGCCCAGTCAGTTGCGTCCACGCTCATGTCCTCGTCCTCGTGCTTGGTCGCATCCGACCCAAAGAGGTCTTCGAGGATGTCGAGCGACGGCAGCTCCATCACCGAGAGACTCTCGACCATCATCATTGGCGACATGGACGGCGACGATGACCGCGACGACGCCGGCGAGCCCTC